TATAGTAGAACTGAGATTTGTGTTAAGTAAACCCATGAAGGGCTTTAGAGCTACTGAAATGCTTGTAAATGATCACACTCTGCCCTCCTTAGCTATGTCAAAACTGAAGTGTGAGCTTCAGCTCTTTTTCCAGCTCTTGGATGTGGCTGGAGCGTGCTCCTGTATACTTCCTGTCATACCAAATGAAATGCAGGTGTTCTTGAAGTTCCCCATTTCTCCTTTGCACTGGAGGAAAGACTAAGCAGGCAGGTGCTCTCCCCATAGCACACTGAGTCACAGCATGCTTCAGCCAGGTCTCTGATCTGGACAATTAAGGGATCATAAACCCAGGGTATGATGTGGTGTGTGGCGCCTGTCTGCATGCAACACAGAAATGGTCCCTTTGGCTAGTATCTCCTTTTAGAATTAGTGTTTCTTCCAGGGTTTCCGAATTGGAGACAGTTGCCCTGTGCACCTTCTTGTCATCCAACTAAAAAGGAGCTTATGATAAATATCCCATGACCTTGATGAGCTGGGCTGGGAGCCAGGATGACACGAGTCTGTCTTGACTTTTCCAATTATTTTACTGGTGCTAAAACTTCTGTGTGCTTTATGACAGCTGTATGGACCAAAGCCTCCCGTCTCCTCTCCTGAAGGGACAGTTTGCAGAGGCTGTGTGCAGAAGTGCTTGGCACAGTTGTCTCACAGGCGTAAGAACAGGCAGGCTCAGGCCTGGGCTGAAATCTGGGAATGAGGATTCTTCCCATTCTGCTGCCCCACACACTTTGCTTACTGTGTTCCTATCTGGCACCTAGGCTTTGCAGGGAGGGGGAAGTCCTAATGCATTATCAGGGGGCAAAGAAATCTGCAGGGATATGCATGGAGCAGCTTGACTTTTACAATTATTTTGTTTAAAGTTTGTTGAAAGAACAAATGCAATGTCCTAAAAAGCAATTTAAAAAACAAACCCAGGAAATGCCTGGGCTGGGTGTCCACCGTGGCACTTTGAACAGCCTGCTTTGGATTTCAGGGGTGTATTTCCTGGGCTAGGCAAAAGTTAGGGGTCAGGCAGGACAAGACTTTCTTCCCCACTAGCACCAGCTGGATCAGGATGTAATGCTGAGCATATGGTGGAGGAGATGCTGTACTTTAGATAGAGCATGGCTTTATCAGTCTGCTTTATATTCAGTGACAAATTTAGCAGAGAAGTTGAGGGCTGCGTGAACTTTGCAAATTCAACAGAAAGCTCTCAAGCATCAAAATCGGCTGAGAGACGGGCAGGCAGGACATCTTGTTTCTGAATAAAAAGCAAGCTCTGATCACAAAGCTGCCGCCTTTCACCATTGTTCATGAATGTGTTAATGCGCATTTCTGATTCTGTGTAAGCCAATGCACAAATTGCATGAAGCTGGGTGAGAATTTGCCTGTAGTAGGATTTTATAGCCCCAAGTGCTGGCTGTTGAAAGTTCATTATCTCTAATCTGAAGAAGGGCTTGAAAGGCCAGCCTTTCCATTCGGCTAATTTATTGCCATTAAGTACAATAATGTACCTCTCCAACTTACATTGTTGTACTACAGTAACTGAAATGAAGTGAGCACAATTTTTGACATCTCTATGCACTGCACTTGTTTAGGGTTTTATAAAATTCCATAATCTTCATTTTAAATAAATTCAAAAATAGCAGTTTACCAAATGCAGAAATCACCACAACTGGTTTAAATCTGGAAGGCATATGTAGAAAGCACACAAGTAATGTAAGATGGTACAAACAAGAAAATCTCTACTGAACAGTTGGGGGAAAACCAAGCTTTTGCAAAATAAAGGCCATCTGAAGTTTACTCTTGACATAAACACTCAAGTGTCAAGGCAATTCAGCTCCTAAGATAGACTATTCCACTGAAAATACCTTTCATCCTCACACACCTATAAATTAAGATACATAACCACCTACTTACTGTTTAACATAAAAGAGCTGAAACATTTTGCCTTTGTTAGAAGCTCAACTGATAGCTTGAAAGGAAACATGCGCTTTTTCAGGCACAAAATATCCTCAAGTGTTAAGCTGTATCTCCGTGGTAAAATAATGGTGTGCTTTCAGCTTGTACAGGCATGTTCCCCCATCTGTGTTCTGATTAGCTCACATCCCGACTGCCACGGAGAGGGGCGGTGGGCTAGCTCGACTGAGGAATGGGCACGGTCTGGGTTGGGCTTGTTCTCTGCTCCTTGACAGGCTATTTTAGAAGATGTGCCTGGGACTGCAGCAGATATTTGTTGATACTGTTGGCCAGGTTGGATGGGAGTCTTCCATGTACATTCTTGACCCATCTTCCTTAAGTGAGTGGTTCTCTGTGAATGTGGTCACTGATGGGTTTGCAGCTTTTGATAAGACTTGTAGATGTGTTGCTAATTGCAGGCTCCGACTGACTTTTCTCACAGGTGGGGGGGCGTTCAGAGCAGTTCTCTCCAGTGGGAACGCTGTTAGGTTTCTCGTAGGTGTCCTGCTTTGTCTTCCTCATGGTCCAGGTGCCACCAGAGTCACTCTCCTCCAAGCAGCTGCCTGCTGCCATCAGTTACACAGCTGGAACAGCTGGGGGTGCCCCAGCATGGAAGGGTGCCTGTCGGGACCAAGGGAGCTTACCTGTGCAGAGCCTTGCTCAGGAGATTGGGTTTCCTTGGCATATATTAAAATATTAAGTATTTACCTCCTCTGGTTATGGGGGACTTTGCTACCCCCCGTCACATTTGGCTGAAGTTGTCCAGGAGGGTCAGCAGTTGTGGAAAAGGAAAGGGAATGCGTGGGTACATGTGAGTCTCATTTCTTAAGAGAAACCCTCCCTCCCATCCAAACGACCTTAATTAATAGAGAAGTTTTCTTAAAGTGAGCGCAGTTGTTTTGGCTGACTGCTTTGGATATAATCTTTGAAATGATTGACCATGTTAAATCATGATAATTAGGTCTGACCATTAACCTCCCACAGAGCTGATTACAGGGATGGGGGTGATGAGGAAGTTTTTTATTTTTCTTAGTGCTATTGTTTCAGTCTGTTTGCAGAGTAAACACAATGAGTGTGTCGGTTGATTATGCTGCAGACCATCTCTCAAGCCAGAGGAGATGGATATTTAGTTTTTAATTGTGAAAACCTGGGTTTTAGAGAAAACGTGCTCTGGGGAGATGTTGGGGAGGCTCTAGGTCTGTGCACCAGTGCCTTTCCAGTCATCCCAGCTGTTCACGTACTGAGTGGCTGTTCCTAGAGCATTTATCCCCTTTACTTAGCTTCTCCCCAACACAATCGTAGACAGCACCTCTGAGGGACAGCACTCTCTTCATTGCTTTAAGATTGTCTTGACTAAGTTAGAGCAGCAGAGATTGACTCCTCCCTTCCAGCATTTCTGCAGACAAGCACGGCCCAGCTCTTAAAAGGTGTGTTTTTAAAGGGCATCTTGCAGTCTGCCTGTAGTGCTCATAAATCAGTTACGACTATCGCACGGCTCTGAGTGCTCCGAGTAACAAAAGGCAGTTATTGATTGTAAGGGAAGATTGCTACAGGAAGGAGAGCAAGCAGTATTTTGTGCGTTGCAATGGGCAGCCGCCCATGTGGTGAAACAGCCCGGGTTTAGCTGAAGGGGAGCTTTGTTGAGGAAAGGAGAATCCTTGCCTGGAGTAATTGCCTCTGAGCCAGGGAGAATTGGCTACTCCAGAGCGGGAACAGGCCCCCAGCTACCTCTGGCACAAACAACGGGGCTGTTGCAAATCTGATTTGAGTCGCTAACAATAAGGTATTGAAAAGGCAAGCAGACCTAGCAGTTCTCTCTGTCTTTCCTTGGGCTCCTAATTTATGCTTCAGCTTTGCTTGCTGAAGCAAACCTGTAACGACACAAATGTGTATGTGGGTAACAAGAAGGACACAAAACTTTAGAAGAGACAGCAAAAGGCCAGGCAGAAGGAAAGGCCCTTGGAAAAGAAAGGAAGCTTCTAAAAATCCAGATATTTTAGCTGAAAGGAAAATATAATCTGAACTGTAATTGTTGGCTCTATGTTGTGATACAAAGCTACGAAACGCTCTCTTCCCCCACAGAGCTCATAAAACTGTGCTCTATGTACCAGATGGATTATTTTGTTTTTCATTAAATAAAGAAACTTGTAAACAGTGCTGCGTACCATAGAGATGATAATCTCCACCATCCCCCTCCTCTTCCTTAAACACTGGAGCACGCACTTCGCAGGTTGTGCTTGGGCAGCGGCAAAGCCCCGGGTGAAGGCCCAGCCTGGTGGTCACCGTGGCTTGGGGGCCCGGCAGGACACGCTCCTGGCATCGCAGAGCATTTACTGCGTGGGTTCAATTGTGCCTTTATCAAATCCTGCTTCTGAAATCAAATAAAAGGCTCGATTGCGCAGCATTTGAATGCCACTCTGTGTGCGACAGCAGAAGTTGGTTGGGTTAGGTCTGTGGAGCTGGCACCGCTGCAGGTAGGGGATGGCAAAAAGAGGAGGCTGAATAACGAACAGTTTTTATGTAGAAGATAGCAAGAAATGTTTTATGAAGGTCACTGGGAATAACTACTAGTTTTGCCCGTTAAGTCAATATATTCAGTTATTCTGCTGCCTTTGCAGTTTTCAAATTTGTAAGGTGTAATATGTTAAAAGTTTCGTCGTGATCCTTGTAACTTGAGCCACAATTCTTGACAGTGCTCTTGCAACACGCACTAAGCAGCACACCCCTCGGTCCATTATTTCCCTGCGTAATCTTTTTGCCTACTATCTTGTGTAATAGGAATGCAACTTTTTTTTTTCATAGCTCTTATCAATAAGTTTGTTGAACATTTTGCAAAAGCAGGTACTATTATCTTCATTTATGTTTCCATTATACTGGAAATTTCAGCTATAGCTGTGGTGCAGCAGCTTCTCATGATATATGCAGGCACTGGTCAGTTTGGACCACTTTCAGGCTGGAGGAAACTGCTCTGCTGCAAATCCCACTTACTAATGGTCTTGTGTGTATTGCCATGGGTCTGTAACGAGATGTGGTGAGTGATAAAGTGTGAATTGAGACCAAATATGTTGACGACTTCTGCTCCGTCCACTGGAGCTCATGTACTGTTACAGAAAACCTCTCTGAAATTACAGACAAATTGCACTCCAAAAGCAGAGAATAACTCAATTATAAGGTGTACCCAGTTATTAAATACTGAACTATACTTGGTTTAGGTGAACACTACATTAGTATTAGATACATTTTTTAAATTCATGTCTTCTTATTGTAACTGATTTCAGTTAAATGTATTTTTCCTTAATCAAGTGTACATCTAGCAAAAATACTGGGGCAAAATGTGCTTATATTGTTACTTCCTTTTTTTCCAAATAGTTTTAAAATATTTTAATAGTTTTGTCTGTATATTAGTAAAAATACATTTGAATTATTATCACAAGATCTGCACACATTTAATTTTTTTTTGGTTAGGTACTGCAGGCACCTAAGACTGATAAATATTTATGTCACCAAGTTTAATACAGAGATGCTTGCTTAATGTAATCCTATCACTTTCATTGAGCTATGTGATGTTCTTTAACATGCCTTGTGAATAAAGTAATCCCTTCTGGATCACAATTTTATTCTTCCTGTCTATGCAGTAACAAGCGACTTGTGGCCTTAGTGCCAAATGACACTTCATTCAACACCAGACGAGCCTACACCAGCGAAGATGAAGCCTGGAAGTCATATTTGGAGAATCCCCTAACAGCAGCTACCAAGGCTATGATGAGCATAAATGGTGATGAGGACAGTGCTGCTGCTCTTGGCCTATTGTATGACTATTATAAAGTAGGTAACTCCATCATTATTCCTCCCTGCTGCACTAGCAGGGGACCACTCTAAGAGGCATCAAAAGAGCCAGTTCTCAAAAACAGAAGTCACTACTACTTGTTTTCTCTCTGATACTTGCATCAAGCACCCTTCCCATTTTAGGAAGGCTGTCTGAGTCTGTTTTGATGTATTTAGTTCTGGAGAGAAAACACAAAATCAGTATTCCCATATTAAATTTTCAACCGTGATTTTTTTTTGAGCGTTGCATTCTTCCTCTTCCCTTGCAAGAGCCTTGGATGAATAAGCCCCCTTTTTATTTCTGCTTGGATACTTGCAGTATTCTTCAAAAAGTGGAAAAGAGGAGGCCTTGTCCATCTGTAGGTTTGTCTGCTTTTCTGTTTCATTCCACACATGTTTTAGTTTGCTCTTTAACTGGAGTATCTCTCATCTGACAGTTTCCCATGTTGTTTTTATTTGCCTAATGATTGCAGTAGGCTGTATACAAACATACAGTGAGGTCTAGCTCTTGCACTGGAAGTTTGCAGTCTAAATAGAAAGGTGGAGGACAGAAATGGAGCTGGACACAGAGACAGAGATCTAAGTCAGGTTACAGGGGAAGTACTGACACACAGTTTCAGTTTATGTCAGGTTCTAAGCCCAGGGCTTTACCTACCATTTTGATACCACCTTACTTTTTCGTATATTTCATAGTGTTTAAGTAGAGCTATGGTCGAGATTTCTGCTGAAATCAGAGGAGAGTCCTACAGGGTGCATCTCTCTCTAATGCAGAAATTTCACTCTGAAACCCAGGCTGACCCCTTTGTACTCTGCAAATGGAATCAGTGTTGCCTACCAAGCACTGAAGTATGAAATTGTTAAACTATCTCAGTACTCCTGATGAAGCCACTTATGCCTGCATCAGACGGATGTTCTTCTGTGAAAGCCAGTAGAACAATACCAGCTCCTCTTGTAATTCATGAAGAAGTAGCAGGAATGGAAATTTAAAATTAGAAACCATTGCTTTTAGTATTTATTAGTATAAACGCCCTTAGAGAATGGACTGCTCTTTTTGGCCTCTACTACAATCATTGAGTGTTCATGAGAAGGGCTTATAGGAAAGTTGCCAAATACTAAACTTATGGTTAAATATTGTTTTAATTTTTTTACTGATTATATTTCAAGAATTGTTCCTTGCTTTTGTGTGGTGTTGTCAGTAAAGAAAAGCTTTTCCCAATGAGAAAGAAGAAAGGTCCTTTTCTCTACTTGACAGTCACCACAGTGCCAGAGTCTGTGAAGTTAATGCGGATCTGTAAAATTCAGGATGTGTATGAGAATCTAGAGTGTTGGCTTCTGTCTTAGTAATGCCTTTCGACGTAGCAGTTCATTAATCTGCTGTATTTTTTAAGTAAAAACAGGGAACAGACCTTTTCCTTCTCAAAACTATGTTCTAAGAGACATGTCGGTTCCTTGTTCCAGGCAGTTTTAAAATACTTGGGGTTCAGGTGGGATAAGCTGTGTTAATCTCAAAGCCATTTCCAGCACATTCAATCATAACTACTTCTGTCTTGAACTGAGAGAAAAGGATAACTTTTGTAGGTGCTCTCAAACAGGAACTTAAAACCTAACTTAAACCTCTGTGTTGTAATGTGGAAGTGTAGAGGAGGACTTCCAGTGCACAAGACTCTCTTGAATAGCCCTTATTTATCATCTGGCTGGCTCATTTGTTCTGACATGCTGGGTAATTTTTTTGAAGTACTTTTCCCAGTCAATAGGAATTATTTGAACTTAATTTTTTATTTTCCCTTTTTCCTTTTTCTTGTAGTGGTATTTACCTAAATGTAGACACTTCTTCAAGGATGAATACATGATTTTAACAGGGGAATCAACATGAGCAAGCTGTGACTTGGAACGCACTTCTAAAATTTATGAATGAGTTCTTTTAACCAACAGGATGCTTAATAGGGAGAGAGGATGTCACTGAGAGAAGGAAGGGCTCTGGCTAGTGCTCTCTGACTCTGCTGCTGTCGTGCAGATATACCTGATGTTAACCTTGGCTACTATAGTGCACTGTAGTATTGTTTTTCCTCTAAATTCAGATATTTTCCTGATACTTCTTTAAAGTATTTAAAGATAAAAGGCAGAGTTGTAGCCCATTCTTAGGTCTATTCTTGCTTTTTAATCCCGAGTTAACTGCTGTGATGGAGTAGATATACCTTCTTTTGTAAAAGATAGATTAGAAGTTTTAGCTCCCAATTTGCTGCTTCAGCAAGAAAGGAAAAATATGGTCATGGCAGCAGCTTTGCCCTTGGTGATTTCATATCTGTGCTGGTGTCAGGAAACTGGTATGTGGGAAGACAAATCTTTTAAGTCACTTTTGGTGTCAATTTTGAGTCTATCGAGGCGCCAGATTTGACTGGATTTTTACTTCTCATGGCTGTTGATGCACTCAGCAAAGCAGAAGTTGGTGTTCTCTGATGACATGCAAGCACGTCCCAACCTGTCCCTATGCTAGGAAAGGGAAGGATCCACAAGCTTTCCCTGGGTACGGGTCCTGCACCCTCCAGACTGCTCTGTGACTGGAGGACTTAGCTGGTGCTTGTGGTTTAAGTGAAACCCTTTTTTCCTCTGATCCAAAAGGGTTTCTGTGCAATGCTCATCAAAGCATCATGTCTTCTTTCTCATCTTTTATTATGTGTGTGGAAATATAAGCTTTTATTTTGAGATAGCTTGATCTAGCTTGATGTTCCAAAGATAAGGACATATAGAAGAGTGCTTTGCTCCAGATTTGTGTGCCCAAGAATGAGAAAAGGAAACAATCCCTACATTTTTTTCCCTTTGGAAACTATCTTTATGTTCACAGTCAGTCTCCCAAAGAAAAACAGCTCCTGGCATCTGTGAGCTAGACAACACTGATACGGTTACATTTTTCTAGTTGTTGCAGTAGAGCAGTCTGAAGCTGCAAATACCTGACAGTTGCATTTACCTGACCCCATGCCTGGTGTTGTTCTCAGGTTCCCAGAGATAAAAGGCTGTTGTCTGTTAACAAAGTGAGTGATAATCAAGAAGACCAAGATAAAAGGTACAGTATTATTCAAAATCATACACCCAGCTACTAACAGTGTTGATCAGTTGTGAACTGAAGGAATGATAATAGCCTGAGGGTTTATGGTTTTCTTCCAAAGGATAAAAGAATGAAGACTGTTTTGGGGTGCAAACTTTACTCCTTTTAGTTTATTAGAAAAATTAAACAGTATTATTAAACATGGAATTTGCAAAGTAGCAGAAAGTTTCATGATGTGTTTGTGTTTCGTTTTGTTGTTTTGCTGCTGCTCAGATTAGTAAAATCAGATTATATTGACAGTTGTATATTGGCTACTTTTCTTTAAATTTTCTTCTTTTGGAGCAAAAAATGAGTAGTTTGGCCTCAGTAACCTGATTTATACAGTTTTATTTAATTCAGGATCTGCCCAGAAGCAAATAAAGTAACTCTCTTAAAATCATTCAGTCAAAATGTTTTTCTCACTCCTCTCAGATTTTAACCATCCTCTGTAGGCTAAAAGTGACTTCAAGAGTCAGAGGAAGCTGACTCCTGCCTTTATTGAGACTTGTGGACAAGAGAGAGTGTATATTTGTGTAGGAAGAACTAAGTTTTTACATCTAAGAAGGTATCCTTGTGTAAAACTATAGTGGAGAGGAGCTACATAAGGTTTATTTCAACATATCTAATTCAGGATAGCCTTAGATGGTCTCCACTAGCTGTGTAAGGTGAAAGTTCAAATAGGTAATAGTGTAAAATCACTGTTTCAAAATAGAATATGAAACTTCTTTTGAGGGACAGTTTTTCTTCTGTGCATGCCAGAGAAATTCCTAAGTTGAGTGTGATTGACAAAACTGGCCTTCGGTGGAAAGCTGAGAGAGAGGAACTGTAATGTCAGAACATATCTCCTGGGCTGAAAACAAAGCAGTGTGTTACACCTACTAAAAGTTTTACGAGTTAACAATTTTATGTCAGTGCAGCTACTATCAGCAATCAGATTGCTTTCAACAGCAACCGCAGTTAGATGTGGGAATGCTGCTGGAGGTTACCTTGCAGCCGCTGTAGTTACTGGTCTACTCTGATAGAATGGGATTCCTGGCCTTGCTCTTTCAGAAGAGCATTGGTACCAGAATTACACAGACAGCAGTGGCCTGTCAAAAGCCTGAAAGCATGCATCAGCGTATGAATTTTGCTGTTGATATTCTGCCTATTTCACATGCAAATTGCTACTGTGAGTAACCCATACCTCACCTTACTCTTTAAGCTTATTTTGTGCTTAAAGGCTGTTGCACTGGTGGATTGATTTTGCATCCAAATTATAAGCCAAGGCAAAAGCCACCCTGGATTTCCAGAATTTATTATAACAAGTCATAATGATTATGGATCAAATGAAAAGTATTATCTTTACCTAGCTGTTAAAGAGTTCTGGACCCCTCTGCTTGCCTCATGATGTCTTTTCCCTAGTATTTCTTATGGCAATGCCTAATCAGAATTGAAAGATCTCCTTCCTTGCCGTCTAAGAACATTAAGCTATTTAAGGAGGAGATTTACTCTATTAGGACAGTTCATAACATTTTTTGGTTTTGTCTCACAGAAATTGTCTTAATACCACGGAAGCTCAGAGTAATTTAAGTGGGGGAGAGAACCGCGTGCAAGTCCTGAAGACAGTGCCGGTTAACCTTTCCTTGAACCAAGATCCTTTGGAGTCCTCCAAAAGGGAATACAACACAAATGTGTCTGGGAGCTCGACGCCCATCACGGGGACTGGAGTGACTGTGGTTAAAGCAGAGGAATTCACCCCTGTTTTTATGACCCCACAAGCACACTATGCAAGAGGAGAAAATGAGGAGCACCGAGGTGTTATCTTTGAACCATATGAAGTGTCCAACATTGCTCCCCACACAAATTATCTCAAGGACGACCAGCGCAGTACGCCTGACAGTACGTACAGCGACACCTTCAAAGATGGAGGAACAGAAGTAAGTTTTTCACCTCAAATTAGCATCTAAGAACTCAATAAAAAGCTATAAACAAGATAAGAAGGTTTGAGCTACCCACAGGAGCCATTAGAAAAGCAGTGATTCTTGTTTCAACAAATTAATCTCTGCTTCTTGCCATGTTCCTGTCAGTCTGTGCTCTGATTATAGGGGAGCAATCATGAGGTGTTTCAGAAGACAGTTTTAAAGTTGTTTATTGGAAACTGAGAATAATAGATCTTTTGTCTTCTGGGATATTGTGTCAAGTAGAGGATAGTTGCCATTCTGAAAGAAGATGTGTTATCTGTTAACGAGATCTGCCTTCAGACCTATTCATAACAGTAAGAAATAGCAGCCACTTTGTAACTGGGAAATTCCTAATGTTCTCCTGAAAGTGCAAATGAGCACTGTCAACTTCTGCTGCTAGATAAACCCAAGTAATATATTCAGAAGCTGTCTGTGGCACTAAGCTCTAGTCTGCAACATGGGCAAGTGAGAAAACTGGTAGAATTAGGTGACTAGAGGGGAATGGAGAAGTTTAACAGGCAGGGAAAGACTCGGGTGCATGTATATGTAGGGGAATGTGGAGGAATGAAGGGAGACAAGGAGCCGTCTTATTACTATTTTACATTGTTATGCTGAGGCAAAGTAATTATAAAGTCAGCTTTAATATGGTGAGGATCCTCTGGCTGCTTTTGCCTGCTGCAGAATAATGCAAACAAGGCAGAAATGTAGAAAGGTAGAAATTATGTAAATTTTTGACTGTACCTCTACAAATAATTGGAGATATTAGGTGGTAAAACTCTCCTTGGATTTTGTCCTCCAACTCTATAAAATTGTAAATGTAAGAAAAGTACAAGGCAAGCTATATTAAGGCTGAGTTAGTCTGACTGAATATATAAGAAATTTACTGTGAGTTTGTGTACATGTATTACAGAAAAGTAAATTGTCTCCACACAAGCATCACAGATCAGGATGTGTGGAGGTGAAATCCATTGTCAGATATAGAACACATTTAGGTCAACTAAGTGAATAATTAATGAAGAAATCCAGCTTGCCATTGAAAAATCAGTAAGATCAAACCTTGGATTAGAAACACGGCTCTGCATTATCAAATCACATAATTTCAGATATTTTTCATTGTTACTGGTGAATGACTTTTTATGGGAGTCTGGTGGTACTGTACCCACAGCTTCCCCTGGGGTGCTGTAGCTGAGCGATCCCGTTAGGCTGGTTTGTTCTGAGCCGCGCTGCTGAGAGCTGCCCGAGCAGTCAGCCCGCGCTGTGCAAAGTGCTGTCAAATGCGCTCCTCTGGAGCCCTCAGCACAGGAGAGACGTGGACCTGTTGGAGCGGGTCCAGAGGAGGGACACCAAAATGATCAGAGGGATGGAACATCTATGAGGACAGGGTGGGAGAGTTGGGGTTGTTCAGCCTGGCGAAGAGAAGGCTCTGAGGAGACCTTCTTGCAGCCTTCCGGTACTTAAAGGGGCTTATAAGAAAGGTGGGGACAGACTTTTTAGCAGGACCTGTTGCAACAGGACAAGGGGTAATGGTTTTAAACTAAAAGAGGGTAAATTTCGGCTAGATATAAAAAGGAAGTTTTTCCCAGTGAGGGTGGTGAAACCTTGGCACTGGTTGCCCAGAGAGGTGGTAGATGCCCCACCCCTGGAAACATTCCAGGTCAGGTTGGACGGGGCTCTGAGCAACCTGATCTGGTTGAAGATGTCCCTGCTCATTGCAGGGGGAGGGGACTAGATGAGCTTTAAAGGTCCCTTCCAACCCAAACTATTCTATTATTTTATGATTCTATGAAATGTGCAGCTTGTTTAACTTGGAGGTAAGAAAGGTATTTACATCTATACCTTGGCTTCAGATCCCAAACTTACCGTGTTATGGTAATTTTTGTTGCAATAGTAATATTTTGTATCCCAAACTCCATGTTACAATAATTTTGTTACAATGTTAATATTTTGTTGTGTGTTTTTTAAAATGGCTGGTTAATAACAGGGTACCATACTTGTCACCTAGACTTTCCACAGTCTGTGGAGAAAGAGGCGGTTCAAATCTGATTGCCAAAAGCGGGTGGAATGGCTTGCCGGGTGCACTCACTCCTCTCCATCTTCACCCCCGCTATTAACTGTACAGGGAGAGTGAACAACTAACTTTAACTAGGTCCCTATCTGTAGCTGTTAGGTGAGATGTGTGCCACTGTTAGTGGCCTTCCAGCCCCAAATGCTCACGTGCATGTGGCATGGGAGCGGGAAGAGCTTTCCCACCCTGCTGCAGCCTCACTCAACACTTAGCCTGTCCCTTAATTTTTTCTCAACTACCAAAATTCCAGGATGTGCTTTGCCCCTACGGTGCTCTGACTGTTGTGTAGGGACAGCTGTGTGAAGCAAGTGTGGGGAGAACATAAGGTAAGATGTCAAAACATAACAAACGCGAAACTTGTGTTAAATCAGTGTTTAAAGTAAGAATGCAGTTGTTCTTACTAGTTTTCCTATTCACTTTATGAGAATGGCTGGGTTTGGCTGCAGTAGATTTGCTGTGATACCTGCTCAATTTTTAAACACATTATGAATACGTATTTAGGTATTGTTTCAAAACGTTTATTGAGTGACTTAGTTCTGTTATGCTGAAGGAGTGCTGAGTTTTTCTAGATCCCTGTGGTAGTGGACACTGGTCAATCATTTGCTTTGTCCTTCGGATACAATTTTAACAATTGCATAAATGTACCTTTCTCATCTCATTAATATTCTTATTTAGCTGTGATTAATTTATTAGTCCTTTATAGAATAGATAAAATATTTGAGAAGTAAGTAAATTGAATGTTTTTTACGTTATCAACCTCTAGCCTTCATAAAAAGTGGCTGGAATGTTAATATGCCACCATCTTTATTGTAATACCCCTCAGATGTTAGATCTCTTAGAGTATTATCTAAGTATTATCTATTATCTGTCAGTCTTATCTATTCTGCTGCTCTTGGATCTCCTTGACTTTTGACCTTCAGGAAATATTCCTAACAGGTCCATAATACCTTTGCACTTAACTAGTATCTGACTGAATATTTGTTGTGGCACAGTTGTGCATAAGGTAAAATTGAAAACTATTTTCAAAATTGCCTGACTTGAGACTTCTGGAAACAAAATAGCTTTTAATTGCTAACTGGTGATCAGAAAAGAAATCCTGGAGATTAAATGTAATGATCCATCAGTGAATCAGAAACACATCAACAAAAACATGTTTCAGGCAAAAGACAAGCCAAGAAGAAGCAGCAGGGCTTACATAGTAGAGTACGAACGGGCTCATTTGCTTAGGAAGACAGAGTACAAATCCTTGCTTAGTCTATGCAAAAAGATTTCATTTTTTTTCAGAATTCCACCTCTTGATACAATTTTTTTTTTGATAGATGTGTTTTAATTTTTTAAAGAGTGACTGTAGGTCTCTTCATCTGGTAAAGTGCGTTTCACTCTAACAGAATCTTATAATGAAGGTAAAATACTTTCTTAGCCTGCGTCACCACTTCTATCAAAATAGACAGTATAGCAATCTAAATTTTTGTCAGCAATTCATTGTAGGCCTTGAAGGACAGCTGACCACACACATATTTTTAAATAAAGCAAAACAAAACAAAAAGTGAAGTCTCTAGGAAAACTATGATTTCATCTGAAAGTCTACTTGTCTTTGAGGTGGGGTACATTTTTACAGGCTCGTTTTAGAATATATTAATGTGTAGGCAAGGAGTTTAATATGGCAGAAGTTGTTTTACAGTTATATTCCTGTAGCAGTTAGGTTATGAAGAACTCTAAAAGCATAACATAAATGAATTATCTCTGTCAATTCTCGTGTAAGGACCATGTAGGATCCACTCCAGTTTTTAGGGATTTTGAGTTTTAATGGCTGATGGTTTCTTCTGAGGGGTCCTTAAATAAACATAATTCTACTTTTGTTAGTATTTACATTTTGATTGTATGAAACTATGTTTAATTGTTGTTTTTATTTTTCAGAAGTATCGCAGTGTGTCAGTGGGAGCTGAAGAATATATTTACGAACAAACAAGGTATGGCATAAGCTTTGAAATGTGTTGACCAACATCACATAGGAACGTATCAAGGAGAAGCTGCCTGTGTCCACTTCCCACCCTCCCTTTCATCACCCTGGGGCACCTGCAGGGCTCCCTTGACACTGCCCAGTGTCATTCTCCCCTTCTTCTCCTGCGCATGTTAGCTTTCATATCTGACCAGTTTATATCTTCATCTATTGTCTTCCCTCAGCGTTCTTTTAAGTTAGCAACTCTGAAGCCTGGAGATATGCAAGATTAAAACTGTTAAGAGAGGTCCCCCAGGTAACAGAGCACAGCTTTGACAGCCATGTCATGGAAAATTTTCCCCGCCTTTCAGGATGGCAGGATGTACAAGCCAGATGTCCAGGATGGTTGAATTGGCTCCACCAACCTTATGGAATTCCCATCTTTATTTTTCCCTTTTCCTTTTTTCTAGTTAATTCTAGTAGGTTTTCTGGGAAACCCTCTGTCTTTTTACTCTGCTTGTTGTGGTACTTCATATTTACCTCTAAAATAATATAAATGAAGTATCTATTACAAACCATGTAAAAAAGCCTAAGAATTCCAAAATGTTTCTAAAAAAGTTTCAAAAATTGAAGTTTGAAAGGGAAAATGTCCTCCTTAAGAACAGAAAAATGCGTGTGTAGAATGGGCAAGTACTACAGGGTTACTTTTAACAAATAAAGACTGTGATCAGTAAAGTTTATAAGCTGATGCTTTGTTTCATACTTGTGAGCAGTCCTGTTTCTATCCGAGAGATTACTCTCACTTTAGAAACAGGAACTTGCCTACATATTTTTCCTGGAGTAGGCATATGACTGCTGCTGTAGTGGAAGTTCCTTATGGCTTGATCTTTTTTCTGAGGAATATTAAAACAATCATTAACTGCAGTGAGCTCAGAACTGAGTCATTATATAGGCAGTACATATGAAACAGATATTTAGCAAAGACTGCTCACTTAGTACACTGGATGTTTATAAAATTGAATCTGGAAGCATTGGCATCGTTAACAATTCTCAGACATTAAGTCTTTCATGCTATGGCCCAGGTCCACATTAGAATGAAGCCTCCCAATGCAAACTAAGAAAAACGAACTCACATCTTTCTGGGAGTTAACTGGAAGTGATAGGTGCTTCAGATTGAAGAAAAGCAGTGGTGAATATGAAAGTAATTGGACGCCCCATAGAAGATCCCTTAATGACTACACGGGGATTTAGTTAAGACTCATGGTGGGATTCAGAATAGTATTATAATCATTTGAGTGACTGCAGTAAGTTTTAAGGGTAATAGTAATCCTCCTGCTATAGGACATGCTTTGATTGCCAAGTGGGAACAAGAAGAAAATTCCCAAGCGGTGCCACACAGCTACTGCAAAATTGGCCAGGTGCAGGGTGTCTGGGATTTACATTTTTTGATGTCTTTCTGAAACATATAGAATGCCAGGAAACAGAAGACCAGACTGTGACAGACTGTAGGAAGCTCTGTTAAGACACTGTGTGTCTGACTTGTTCATCCTAGGCCTTTCTCAGCACATGTCCTCGTTAGGCCTTCTGTCTGGTGGGAGGTTTGGAGGTACATCTCCCAGGGCGCTCAGCATGCTTTGGTATGCGTCGTGCAGCAGTCTTGCAGCACGCAACCTGCAGTCCTTTGTGTGACACTAAATCAGAGGATGTGCCCGCACCGCTAATGGACAGTCAATCCATAGGACAAGCATATGCAGCAGGCTGGATGCTGGGTCTGCAACACCAGTGGTTCTGCACTTCCAGTCCACTCGGACGGGGCTGTACTGCTTGCCAGTGTCGACAGAGCCTCCGTTCCCGTTGCACACAGGACAGAGGGACTGTGGCAGCGCACACCACAGTGGGCGGCAGCGGAGGGGACCGCAGTCCCCTTCGTGCTGCCTTTCCACTCTGCGTCAGAGCCTTCGTGCCGGCAGCAGCTGCACTGCTGGGAAGCGCTGCTACTGTCATCAGTGGGTTGGATAGGGGTAGGTTAGTGTTTGCTTTTTACCTTAGTTTTGCTTTGATTTGTAACTTTTTTAAGAAAAAAAAAATGGATTTCCATTTATAAGATAGAGTAATCAGAAACACTTAGAAATTGTCTTGATAGTAAACTAAATAATTGATACTAAACTGTCTGAAAATTCTTCTTTCAGATGGAAAGACAGTGGATAAGGTTATTTTTTTTTCTTCTGCCTTCTCTTCAAGTGGGGATTTAAATGTTATTATTATTCATGCATTTTAGTGATTTTTTTCCGTTAGGTAGTTAAAAATGTTTTTGTCTTCCCCTTATTTCCATATTGCTATGGCAGTGTTATGATGATCCAGAATTTTTGCTTGAACTAGAAGGTTAAGGATATGCTGTTATTTTGGACCAACATATTTGTCCTTTTGGTTCTACTCCAGCACTGCTCAAATACTTTGCTGAATTAGGACTTTTGTGAACATGCTTCCCCCGTATCTCCAATTTGTGAGGACATCTTGTAAGTGACTCCTTGCATTAAGCTTCCTGTAGTGACAAAATGCAGTTTGAAGAGAAGATTTATTCTGCAAGGTTAACATAATTTTTCATTTAAGAGAATGTAAGGAGCTGCAGGCATAGTTTTTATAGGATTATTGTTCAAGCCCGTTATTGGAGGAGGCAGTTGGAAGAGGCTCTGTGAGAATGGTGTTCAGCTAACAGTTCACTAGTTAATGGAGCTTTAACTTTTCATGATTTGAGAACTACTTTAAAGATGGGAAGTTCTCCTGTGAAGGAGGATCTTTTCTAAAATCTGACTTCCAACAGAAGAACAAACTCTGTTTTTCTTTAATTTTTGTCTTTTTCTAAAGGGAAGTTACTTGATTGCAGATAGAACTAAATGTAGGTATTTTGTTCTGTCTGATTAATTTTGAAAAGAAGGCTTGTAAAAACCTTGATTGCATGTTATCTTTACACAAATTAACCTGTTGTCTCTTCTGGTTGTATTCCTTCTCTGCCCTATGCTGAAAGTAGCAGTTGGACTTCCTATTCTCTGTGTTCATCTTTTGCAACAAATTTTATTCTGTTTTGGTTTTTTTTTTAATTTCTCTTTCTTTGACAATTCCAAGTTTAAATGTCTGTGGAGGTAGCTGATGTCTTGAAAATTGTACTGAATTCCCTCCTGGTATTTGACACACTCACTGTGGGGTATGTAGTCCTATACTTCATGATGGTTCTTTTCAGAGAAAGTAAAGATGTGATCTTTGCTCTGAGAGACTTACAGTCCAGATAGTTTTACACTTGATTGCCAAATCTGATGAACTTGAAAAAAGAAAATCACATTTTTAAATACCTGTGTGACCTTTTCCTGGAATTTTAATATTAGCTCCTTATGCCTTGCCTATACAATGCATGAAATAATGAAATGGGGACAAAGAGGAAAGGAGAAAGTGATATGGATTTTATTGGTGTTTCTCTCCCTCTCTTTTCAGCAGCACTTTTCAGTATACACTAGAAGCTACCAAATCTCTGCGTCAAAAGCAAGGGGAGGGGCCCATGACCTACTTGAACAAAGGACAGTTCTACGCCATCACCCTGAGCGAGACGGGTGACAACAAATGTTTCCGGCATCCCATCAGCAAAGTCAGGGTAGAGTCCAATTTCTTTCCTAGATGGGAATGGAGCTCTGCAGATAAATGTAGTTGTGTTTGGTTGGTTTTTAATGTTTTTCTTTCCTGTGGGAGAGGGAAGCCCAGTGTAAAGGCAGGAGAGTCATACTGATGGTGGTCTCAAATATTTTGGGGTCCAGTTTTTTCAAAGTGTGATCTTATGAGTTAATTATATACATACCTGCCTCAGTTTATGGTTTGGCAGGATGGTATTTGCACAGATATTGCACTTGAAATTGGTGAACTTATCATTGCTGTGAATAAAGAAAAAAATCAGAGAACCGCTATATCTACTGTGTAAGTCCATCTTTACTCACTTGTGTACTTCAGCAGCTGCTTTCCAGTGCATTTCAGCTAAAATATGAAGAGTTGAAGCCATTCTTTGTGACATAAATTTTAAATCATTTATATCATATAAGTGTGAGCTTTCACTTGATATTCACCCAGAAGTATGACAAAATTGATGATTTGCATCTTAGATTCCATGGGTAGAACTGGAGCTTGGGTATTCAGCAACATCTGCCTGGTGAACAGGCCTCCTGATTTCCCTGGTAATGTTTTTGAGTAAGCAAATCCTAGCCCAGTAACCTTGGAACAAACAATGAGCCTCACAGTTGCTGCTCTGCAAATTTCACCCTGAAGCTGGAAGGGCTGCATATGTATGAGGCTGCAAAACTGTTTCCATCAAAATAAATGAAGTACGGTAAAAATGTTCTGACTTTAGTCTAAGGAACTAATGAAAGTCAACGTAAGCCGTGAAGCAGAGAACAACCTACATGTTTCTGTCATACATGAAGTTTAGAGACACTCTTCCTAAGGAGAGGCAATGATGTGTAAACCTGAACAGCAGTTAATTTTTAGCCTGATTTCCTAAGGACATGAGGCTGATGATGGCGTATTGTTGTTGGCTGAAGCTGATGTAAAGACTTCACTGCTGCTGGAAAGTCTCTCTCCCTGCCAGCCACCTGTTCCTTCCCTCAATGTAGTGCCAGCTCTAGCACTTGTACAGCTGAAACAGGAGTCAGGAGCTTGCTGGTCTGGCTGAAAACAAGTTCTTATAAGTCTGGTTCACTGCACAGCCGTGTGAATTTTGAAGCTGTGGCAGCAGAAGGGTGGAAATTGTAAAAGAGAGATGGGACCATTTCTTTTGGAGGATGTACAGTTTGCAGAAGATTGTGAAACCACACGTAACTTTCACGATCATGTTCTGTTTGCCAGGCCCCCAGCCAAGTGACTGTTGAATTTATTGCCAATTCCATCCAAACCTGACAGGGGCAAGAGGTTTTGAAGGTATTAAACCTCTACAAGTTCCATGTAAGTGGTTCATAGAAGAAAAAGATTAATGCTCTCCTTGGTGGAGAAGCTACAATCTGCACTGCCAGTTCTGGTTAGTGCATCAGCTGCCCAGCCAGCACATACCTGATGGCCAGCCAGTATCCATATGCATAACTCAGGACTCATTCATGGCATATACTGCCTTGTGCCCATGCAGTAGCTAGACACGGAAGATACAGTGATGACGTTCGGCTTTTATAGGTGGAACGGAGATGGTCACAGAGCACATGAAGGGTTACGGTGGTTACTGTGTGGAGAGACATAGATCATGAATCAATCGTGATCCAGCTCCTCAGCTTATGAAACAGCTTGATGGTATTTTTTATGAGCTTGGTGACTCAGTGTTAAAGGAAGAATGGGAACAAAAGAGGATATTTAAAAATTCTCTGTGATTTCTTTTCACTTCAGTTTACCTAGTACAAGCGTTCATTCATTGTATTGTGTTCTTTGTTTTGCTTGCCTACAGCAGGGTGTTTTTAAAAAGCCTTTATTACTTATGTGAAATTTGGCATAAAGTTTCAATCTGTTTCCTTTGAATCACACAGTTTAACAAAGGGAATTCAGAACTTGAACTGAGAAGTTCAGCAAAACTCAGTAAATAGTCACACTGAGTTTGTCATTAAATACATGTGTGCAAGAGTCCTGCTACCGAGAAGGGTATTTGGACTATGTATGTTAAAACTAAGAATGTCTTGCCTTTAGCTAGTGAGCCTGAGCCCCATAACAACACATCAATTTACAGTGTAATGTCGTCTTCCAGACTAATAAGGAATCTGAACTCCAACACTTGGGCTGGACTTGGATCAGAATTGGAATTGAGGATCCTCTGACTTTGAAATGACCACTTTTTACTTAAGGGAACTTAGACTTCTTAAGTCTAAGAGTACGATTACATTTTATCAAGAACATAATCCTAGGCTCTGTGTTATTTTAAAACTACATTTCTTATTCCCCGAGTCTTTAAGTGCATTGCAATATTGGACAGGAATAAAAACCAGCAATCTTCTACAACCAAAGTGCTGGGGGAGGGCGATGACTGGATCAGCATTAGAGGCATATGGGAGGTCTTAATTTTTGTGTTTCTGACTATCAATGATATTAACTGATGCAAACCTGTGCTGTTGATTTTCTTAGAGCGTGGTCATGGTTGTTTTCAGTGAGGATAAAAACAGAGACGAACAGCTGAAATACTGGAAATACTGGCATTCTCGGCAGCACACAGCTAAACAGAGGGTCCTCGACATTGGTGAGTGTAAGAGAATCTCCAGATGTTTCAGGGAAGATTGCAGAAGGTGGAGAACTCTGGTACCTTGCACAGGGATGTGGTGGGATATATTGGCAATGGCTGCAAGGCTTGTACCACAGTTTTTAGCAATGGCTCATCCCTGCTAGGACTGGGATATGGGATCTATGAAGCAGGATGGAGACCATGCAGAAGGAATGGTCCTCATTAGTCATAAAGAAGAGATGCCCCTTGCATGCGTATTTAATGGTGTTCCACCTTCTGCTGCTGGGAAGTTGAGTTCTGCACCTCTTCAGGAGCGGCAGTGTTTGTTTAGTTTTTCAAAGGCCGATCCACTCTTTGATCCAGTAGCAGCCCACATAACAGTTATGTTAGCTAATCTGATGTGTAAGTGCAGCCCGAAAGTGAAGATGCCATCATTATGGTGACTGCAAAGGAGCGCACAGGACTCCTACACCCCTGCTTTTTGAGTCTTGTCAGTGTCACAGAGAGCTCTGGTGTGCTATCCTGAGAGACCTGTTCACCGTTCATCCCATCTAAGGTATTTACAAGCACATGCAACCACAACTGCCCTATCCACATGCTTGGGAGATTTTAGCAGAGGAAGAACACGTACCTGCTGCCAAGGAGCCTGGAGTTGAAATCTGTGGGAGTGTCTAGACATCAAGCACTTCTCCCCTCCCACGTGCAGTTTACACACGCAGCCATCTGCAGCGGATTCCAGTCAAAGGAGTCGGCGAGACCAAAGCAGACAAAGTCTATCTTGTTTTGACCGCCTGAGGGAACCAAACCATTGAATGGCAGGAATGAGAGGGGGCAGAGAGGAGGGGGAAAAAAAAGCAGCTTTACTTGGAGAGAGCGCTGCAAGACTTCAGGGATGATCAAACACTTATAGTACTGGGAATCAGTCCCTAAATGGTCCTGCTCATGCAGTACCCTTTGACTTTCAGATGCTGTAGCCTCCACTGAGGCTGGCATTATTTAAAGTCAAGTGTGTTTGGTCAAAGCAGCTCTTCCTGAATCTCATCTCTGCCTCTTGTCTTGTCATCATAGTTCTGACTGAACTGTTTCCCCAACTTTTTTTTTTTTGGCCTTTGGGGTAGTTAAGGCAGTTAAACCTCCACCCCAGACCAAATGACTCCTATCATGACACGTTAAAAGAGCAAGTATGCCACGTCACAGCTATTTCTGAAGGCTGCCTGTTTTTTTGTGCTAGTCCCTACAAGCTTGCAGTGCTAATGCTCATACCTTCGAAAGTATGTGCTGTGGCGCTTGTTCCACTGCAGTGCCAACACCCTCCGACTCCACCGCACTCGTGGTGTACCAGCACATTGCAGTTCCCTTACCTGAACGAGTCATCTTATGAATGCATATTCTGTAAAATAGTGCTCTGCAAAACAAGTGCTGTACATGAGCTTTGTGTTTATCTGTGTTAAAGTAATAGTTTGAGATGAAGAAGGAGGGAGACACCTTCGCTGTTTTTAGCAGGCATGAGGCAAAATAAAAAGCTGACTTTTCTACAGTGCTGTGCTGTGACATTGGATCATTAGTTTTTTTTTTTTAAATAATGTCACATAAAGAATACAATACTAGATTGCAGCAAATATTGATTATTTAGAATCAGTACCATAATTTGACAGGTGCTGGAACAGGTTCAAACATGGACATAAAGGGTGGGTGTGGAAGCTTTAGATTGGGGTTATTTGTGCTCCAGAGTCTTGCCCATATTTTTTTGCAGGATAGTTTGTATCAGTTATGTGCACAATACAAAAACTACTACAATGGTCTGTAATGCATGCAAATGATTAGTGTTTAATGTTGAAAATTGCCATTGTTTAATATGCAGTTTACCCAACAAAAGAGGAGATAATTCCTGTAGAGATGTTTTCTTGCATATCGAAGAACCCCAATTTTCTATTTCTGGTAACTCACAGCAACAGAAGAGGAAAAATTGTAATCACACTAACAACTTTCAAATATCCTTGGATGTAAATGCTTTCTTAATCTACTGAGGATCCTTCTTTAATTATCTGTAAATTGAGGGGAATAGGATGCACTTCTGCTTTTAAACAGCATGTCACATAGACACTCCATGAGATTCGTGTTTGGCAATTAAGGAAGCAGAGAGGCATGTGTTGGGGGAAGGCAAGAGTTGGTGGGATGTGAGGTTCTGACAGCCTTTTAGGAGAAAAAAACATGTGTCTTTACAAGACATCTTGTTCATGTCTTTCCAAAGTGCACCTACACAGCACGCCCATATGCAGCAGTCAGTTGCATGAGGCACTTTCTGGTGAATCATAAATTTAAGGGGTGGGTGGATGTGTGCACATGCATATTAAACTACTTATGTGTCTTCTAATTCCTCTCATTTCCATTCCACACTGAATTTAGATAGTGAAGCCAATGACTTCAGTTAGAAAGGAGATCTGAGTTCATGATGGGAATGAAAAACCTGCCTGCCCTCTCAAACATCATGTTCATGTGCTGCATCACCAAATATTTTGTGCTGTTCTTATGGTCAGAAGAGTGAATTTCAACTGTATCCAAAATCATTCATGTATCCCAGGCACATGGTTTCAGTTGCCCAGTGAAATGCCAGAATCCCTGCATTTCAGATGAGAGAAAAGTATACTGATTGCACGTCTCAAATTATAAATAATTCTCCTTGCAGCAATGGTCTTGTTAGAAATGATTTTATGACAGTTATTACCTAGAAATTATTTTTGAGAGACCAGCAGTTGATTTTTAGAAGGGCAAAGGAAAATAATATTGAAACCATTTGGGTGTCTCATTTATAGAATACAAACCCAACCTCTTTCTATAACTGATTGCAAAGCTAAGAATCAGTGTGCTTCTGAAGCACGGATCTGGGCAAACGTTAGATCAAGATTGCTGCATGGCTTAATCTCGGCCCTCTGGCACCGCGTCCAATTACAGCCATTACAGCCCTGGAGCACTCTAAGGAAATGTATATGTCCCAGGGAGAGTTGATGCATTTGCATGAAGAATCTGGAAGTTCCTTTAATCAAGCAGATATTGCCTCCTTACAAACCTAGTCTTTCTCTTCATCTGTCATCAAAAAGAAGAATGTATGTTAAACTGTCTGGCAAAGGGAGAGAAAAAGAGGGCTTGTTCCTCTTTTCAGTTATAAAGAAGCCCTGGAAGTTGTCTGTCTTACGTGGTATTCTGCCCTTACTGTTTTTGGTGGGGAAGTGGGTCATCTTTGAAATTGGGACTTTCTCCCTCTTGCTTTGCATTCCTTCTGAAATGCTAGCTTATTGATAATATTAACAGCCCTTTGGAAAGAAGTGAGAAGAGGGTGCATATTTTGTAGTCAGACAATTAAAAAATACTTTTTGTTTACTTGCTATTTTAGTATCGCATACACTCTGGAGAGAGGATCTTTGTGTTTTTGGTTCTTTGTTTTGTGGTTTTTTTGTTGTGCACTTTGGTTTTATTTATTTGTTTTTGTTTTTTGTTTTTTTTGTATTTTTTTAAATAGAGATCCAGCATCCAGAGCAGTAATTCCTGTGAAAGTTGAAATGGCTGGGCAAGGAATGTACACTGCTGATTATTTCCTCCAGTGATAGCTCTTGGCTTTTTAGAAAGCTTCTTTAGGATTTACCATAATGTCATTTATTTATGTCAAGGTTTGAACAGTCCCTTTAAATGTTTCAATAGCTTTTAGTAAATTTTCAAGTTTTGGCCATTCCTTGGCCAAGCTAATGAATGCACCCTCTCATTCCCACTACAGTCACACTGATTCCTTTTTGAGAGCAAGCAGTATTTTGCAAGAACCTTAGCTTTGTGATGTACTGTGCATAAGACTCAAGCTGCAGTATATTACCTTTTTGCAATTAAACTTATTAATAATTGAACATAAACAATACAAGAGGTAGTTTTGGGTGCATTAGACAACCCAGCTAAAAATGCAAAGATGTACTATGAATTGTAAAAGAGAAAGTTCAAACTTTTTTAATGAGTCATTTTTTTGTTTGTTGTTTCTTACAGCTGATTACAAGGAGAGTTTTAATACCATTGGAAATATTGAAGAAATTGCATTCAATGCTGTGTCCTTTACTTGGGATGTCAATGAGGAGGCAAAGGTGAGTAAAAGCCATGCAGATGGTATCCCTTTATAAGTACCATCCATCCTCAGTCACTGTTCCAATTCTCTCCTTTTTAACAAATAATAAGAAAGGTTAGGTGGAGGTGGGAGAGCTCAGTCTCAGCAAAGCCAGGCAAGCCATGGTCTTTCACGGACCTCAGGGATTCTGGCCATCCATAAAAGGCAAGATGGTATATAACGGCTGTCACGATGATACTGCGTTTACACCTGTATGACTGACAGATAGAGATATAATTGCAGGGCAAACCTGCAAGGCTCTCATGGTGTGGTTTCTTACTTGTGGCCTCTCAGTGATTTTCTATTTAAAATATGGCCAGCCTGAGAAATTGTAAAAGTTTTTTTCCTAGTTGCGAAGTCAGTAGGAAAAAAAGTAGTCCCACCTTGTAGGACACAAGGTGAGTATTTTCTTTCTTGAAATTATCAGCTTCCTTTCTATACTATTACCATCTCCAATAATCAATATTCTGTAAGCTTAACTATGCCTTCCCATAATAATGTACCATTATTTTTTATAATGGTAACACAGACTGTCCTTGCAATGGGGCATGAATGTATTTTTGAGGACTGATTCTTTCCTTCCTCCCTTCCTCCCTTCTTTCCTTCCTTCCTTCCTTCCTTCCTTCCTTCCTTCCTTCCTTCCTTCTTTCTTTCTTAATGCTCAAGTACCCTCAGACATGGGATTTTGCATTTGGGGATGTGACTGCTACAGTGGACCTATAAACCAGGACAGCAGAGCACCTTAACAAGTTTCTTACAGATAAGGTTATCCAAAGAGTGGCAGAGTGTTTCCGCTGCATGGACTAGTGTAGGAGAAATGAAAAGCTGCCAGTAATTAGAAGAATAGGTTGGCCTCTGGAAAGCAAACAACAAGGGAAATAGGCTGTGTAAAATGAGTGGGGGTAATGTGGGACACTCAGGGATGAGAACTAATAAACAGCAAACACTGTTGAGCTTAGCAAACGCCTTGATACTGTTTTCAAGTTGAATACAAAATGCCCAATGTTCAAGTAATGCTAAGGATTTTCAAATAGAGAGACATCTTCATGTACGATTCCCCACTGTATTTCTAACAGAGGATTAGAGAGATTGCATCGAGCAAGTGAGTCCTGTGAGAGATTGCATCAAGCATGGAGTGGTAGTGTTAACACTCATGGTCCTGACTTGCTGACTGGAGGTGCTGAGGTTTGTAGTAACAGGGATTTTATTCTCTGATGCATGTTTTAAAAGAACAGAGCACTAAAGAAAAGACAATAGTTCTGAAAACTGCCTACGTCTTTCAAAAGCTGGCCTTGGTAAACAGAGTTGTACTTGGCCCAGTTGCTAATGGTGCTATATTTACTCATGTAATGATTACATTCTCACCGCCCCAGATATTCCCCTATTATGTGATTCCATTTCAAAATACAGTGGTATGTTGTCCTCTGCAGTCACAACAGATGACCGTTCTGTGTGTGATTATTATGCAAGCAAATACAGCAAATACAGGTTTGGGATCTCCAACAAGATGGACTTTCCCAAGGACCTTTATGGAAGCACTACCATGGCTAGAACATGGCAGTCTCGTCCCACTGGCAACTACCAGCCCCATTGCCAGGGCTGGCAGTTCTTTAACATGCTTGCATTTGCAGCTGCAAGCCAGACTTAGCCAGACACCATGTTGACCTATGAGCAAGAAAGTCACATCCACTAATGTCAGGTGTTATCCTCAGCCATTTTGTTCTAATCTCACAGCAATTTACATTGCTCCTGCCTTGGGTGCCAGAACATTAAGAATACAACTCGTGCAATGATCACTGGAAATATAACATAGTAAGATTTTAAAATAATGACTCTCTTATTGTTGCTGCATTAAATAAGCATCAGGAGTAAAATTGAAAAAAGCCACTTGTATTTCTGCAGGAACTAGTCATTAAAATGCAAGTTAGCTTATGTGTACTTATTTTGAGTCGTAGTTATGAAATACCTGATCTTTTAGGAGCTTGAACTGCAAATGTGTTGATAAAAGTAAGAGGATTCATAACATGCTTTAGTATTGGGCTATTGTTGTGGTTTAGCCCCAGCCGGCAACTAAGCACCACACAGCTGCTCGCTCACTGCCTCCCTCCCACAGTGGAATGGGGGAGAGAATTGGGAAAAAACTCATGGGTTGAGATAAAAACAGTTTAATAGGACAGCAAGAGAGAAGGAAACAACAATAACAACAATAATAATACCGATAAAGGAATGTACAAGAACAAGTGATGCCCAATACAGCAATTGCTCACCACTCGGTGAGCCCGTCCCTGAGGAGCGATTCCTGCTCCCCGGCCAACTCCAGTTGATGTACTGGGCATGATGTCGTATGGTATGGAATATCTCTTTGGCCAGCCTAGGTCACCTGTCCTGGCTGTGTCCCCTCCCAGCTTCCTGTGCACCCCCAGCCTTCTTGCTAGCAGGCCAGCACGAGAAGCTGGACTGTCCTTGACTACTTGATGTTCAAAACATCAGCACGTTATCAACATTTTCTCATCCCAAATCCAAAACATAGCCTCACACTGGCTTCTGTGAAGAAAACCAACTCTATCCTGGCTGAAACCAGGACAGCTATCAAGCATAAATCAGGTTGTATCTGTAAGCTTATCACAGTGCACTGAAGTGTTTTCCTCCTCGCACACGTGTACACGTACCCACATGCTTGCTGTAGTTGGAGAGTCTAATACAATAACCAGTTGCGCGGGGTCTGGGAATTCCCATAGGTTGCCCCCGAGGTGTTTGAAAGCTGTGGACTCTGAGGCACGTCACTGAAGGGTGTTTTTTCTCCAGCAATTACCTCATCCAAGAGAGATGAAGAATTTCAAGGCCTAATTACAGACTCTTTTTTTCTTCAGCTTTTTGAACGATGATCTTTAAACTGGCTCCATTGTTTCTGCTCAGTGTTGTTTTCCCTTTTCACCACAATTTCAAGATTAAAACTTAACCTCACAGGCACAAAGACCTTTCTCTTCTGAGTCAGACAAAAGCAACACAGAGCAGTTCTTTCCAGGGCCTCTGAGATGCGATGTGATGAAGCGCTCTACTGGCCTGGGAAGAAATAAAGAAACAGACCAGTCACTGGAGGTGCACACAGGAGCGGTCTTGACAAATCAAACAGAAGCAGCAGAAAACACCTAACCAAATATCCCTGTCTCTCTTGGGAGACTGAACCTGCATCTAGGCAAAATTATCTGGAGCGTCAGATTTCTCACTTTCCTACTCCACCTGGAGGGCAGCTGATTTAAAGCCAGATTTCTCCTCCAACACTCAAGCAGAGCAATACCCTCCTCCTGGAAGCCCTTCAGGATGAGGGTATAACAGTGCGGGTGTGACGGCCAGAATCTCCCTGTTAACAGTGAGTCTGCTAAGGGTTTTTAAGGCATCATCTCAGTTGGATCTTCTGTGGAAGAAACAGGCATTCAGAGTACAGACAGAGGCCTCTCTATTGCCTCCATATCATGAAGAAGGGAACTGGGGTGTTGGCTCTAGCTTCTTGTGCTCGGTCCCTCATGTTCCGACTGATGGCTGGCAAAACAAGTTAGCGGAAGGGGGAGTCTTGTACAGCATGTGTTGAGCTGTGGAATAATCTCGCCATTGCTTTCCATGGACTTAGGGAACAGCACCAAAGTCAGAAACACCACTCTGCTAGTGTTTCCTCTGCTGTATCTGGCTGACAACAGCAGTCCCCTTTGCCTTCTGGCAGAGCAGAGGTGGGACCTGGCACATCCTTACCTTTTTCTAGAACAGCCTTTTCTGCAAGAGGTCACCGTGGAGCTTGTGGCTCAGAGCAGGATACAGGGAAATGAGGAGAAGGATCTACAGCCATGTCAAACTCTTCCTTATGCTGCCCTGAGACAAAAATACTGTGCAATAAGAAAGCAGAGGTAGGAAGTGAAGACTATGTTTTGTATAGTCCATCTTTGTTTCACTCCTGTATTTACTTCTGTATATAAATATGCAACTTTTATGGGCAAGGTGATTTGTTGGCTCCCTTTGGTTGAACCTGAATGCTATGTTTGGTATTTTTAAAGGAGTTCTTTAAAAAACAGCGAGGAAACAAACAACAATTAACAAGAACTGGCTAACTTCTTAACCATCTTCTAAAAGTCTTTTTATGATATGCTATAAGGTAGTTAGTTGCTTTGCTGTTGCCCTACAGAAGATTTTGCTGTAACATCTAGCTGGTTGACAAAGTTCTAGTGGAGGTGTTTGAACAGAGAGCTCAGCTTCATTTTCGGTAGACATACATCTGCCTGCTTGCAGTCTGATTGCTGACAGAAGTTAGTTTGCAAGAAAGATAATTAAAAACCAGAACTCACCTGGTTAAAGGAGAATATCTTTGTCATAAATCATACCAACTCTTTGAGATATGCCTTCTGTCTGATTAATACTTTGCTAATTTAAAATGGTTAGGATGATGTTACTCTGAAACAAGACATTAATCGTATATTTTTATGGAAGCACTTTTTAACCTTAAATTCAAAGGCGTGACTTCAGTGAACAGTTGCTAAAGAAAAATGTCATTTTAAGATGACAAAAGCAGACAAAAATTACTTTCCAGTAATATCAAGAAATTACTAATTTCTGCAAAGCGCTGCAACTTGGACATGCGGTAAACAGACATGTTGGCGGATATATTATTCAGGCAGGTGCTGGCACATGCTTTTTGGCGTGTAGAGTAGTTGTGTGGTGTGTAGTTGTTGTGTATACTTGCATGCAATCATTGTCCTGCTATATTTAACTGAAATGTAGATCTTTAATCCGAAGCATGCCGAAGCCTCTGGGAATCTTTCCAGTTATTTAATGAGTTCTGGCATAGCACATACAGTAATAAAATGTGTTTTTAATGAGTGAGTGAGTTGCAGCATTACGTTCTTAGACATTGTGGACCAAAGTGAGCTATGATTACAGTGGGCAACATCAAGCTGATAGACCAGCACAGTCTATCAGCGATTTGTATTGTGACAATCCATATTTCTTTAACATTGCTAGCAATATTTAGGACAAGCTTTGACTAGTATAAGAATTATTTTGTTCTTAATTATTAAATTCCTTTCTAACTTACATCAAATTTTGTTTCATTAGGGAGGAAATTAATATTCTCTCTACTCTCAAAATTTAAAGTTTGGAGGAAAATACTTTATTTGGGGGAATTAGTACCAGAAATTATGTAGGATTAGACTTGGCAACTGGTTTAATAAACCATGTCTCTGTGTATGTGTGCATATATATATATTTGTGTGTGTGTGTGATCCATGCACACACATACATATATATTAAAGAAGAGTTAACCTGTGGTAGCAAATAATGTTGAAATTTCAGTGTATACAAATGGTTCAGTAAGTATGCATCTGGGATTCAAGGCAAATGGCATTTTTATGTAGTTGCCGGGGTGTGGTGTGGGTTGAGGAAGCTTCAAAAGAGTAGTGTAAACATTTGCTGGAGACATTTGTATTGAAATAAAACAAAGGTCTTACCTTTGTATGGGATTTATAAGGTAACGGCTGGCAGGAGAAACTATAAAACCACACTTTCTGTGTTTATGAGGAATGATGGGATTGATGTTAGTCATTTAAAAGACAAGACATTTAACTCTTTGTTGTTACAGTCTGGAGGGATGAACCCCTTTAAAACAGGATTTTGTAAAGACCCATCACCCAGGCTTAGATTCTGTGTATTGCCAGTATTCAGCAGAGAAATTGCTTTAGGTTTCTGATTTTGTGCTGTAACACATTCTTCCCTCCCTTCTGCCCTTGGCTCCTTCTGAGACGATGGGAGCCAGAAATGTAAATAGTAATAAAAGGCTTATATTAGACATTTCGTAACTGTAGACCTTTAAAGTGTACAAGCTGAGAGACTGCAGCAGGAGTTATGTTGGCTGGATTAAATGATAAAAGGGGAAATGCATTTCTGGGCCTTGCTTTCTCTTAAGGCAGGTTACTGTGTTTGTGTCTTATACATCACTAATTATGCTGCAGTGTTTAACAAACAGCCAGTAATTCACATAATAACGGCTACACTGTGGAGGAGCGCTTTCCCCAAAAGAGAGAGCGCTTTTTCTAGACATGCTCTGTAACAAACAGAAAAGTTGTCGTCATCTTAGGCTACTTTTGAAACTTTCTCAGGCACCAAATGTTTCTCCAAATTAGTTTTTCATTGCCAATGGCATGCCTGAGCTGGAGGCTAGATGGGTGGAACTCTATTATTAATTGCTCTAATCTAAGATATGCTGACATAAAAAAAAAAAAAGACATTGCTATAATGACAACCCAAACTTGTTCCTGATAGCAAAACACTGCTAAAATCTAGTTTGCACAGGAAAAAAAAAGTTTGTAAATTCATTCAGGTACAACCAAAGTCACATCCATTAAAATAGTTCTAAGTCAAATGTAGACAGGGCCCTGGGGGGAAAAAAAAGGCCATGATTTCTACTACTGCTACTGTCGTTTCTACTTAACTATATTTTCTGACCATGTAACTCTATCATGCAATACACCAGAGCAAGAAGGCTCTTAAACCAGAGTGTCTTCCAAGAGAGGTAGGATGTGACTTAATCTTTTTGCGGCTGCTCGTGGGGTTGTTTTGCTCCTTTTCTCATTGGGAGTGGGAGTACCTGCATTATGGACAGGAGCTGCAAGGGAGGGAGAGATGAGGGCTGTAAAGGGCAAAGCAGGCTGTGCTTGGACAGGCAGGTGAAGTCAGCAGGCAACATTCCTTGGCCACTGCCTCGAGGAGGTGACGGTTTCTGGACAGGGCAGGAGCGGAGAGAAGGGTACTGTCCAGAGGGTTCCCCGGGTCCCATTCACTGCAGCAGCCTGCTGCACCACGGTCCACATTTTCAGTCATGCAAAGAAAAAACACCCCTAAAATTAACTCAAGTAACAGAACTTGTGCCCTCTTCTCCCTCCGTTTTCACATCCCCCATGTTTTCCAAATCCAAAGTCAGTGTTGTGCTTTACAGGAAAGCTAACAGAAGATTGCGTGGAGACAGAAAATTTTCCCCAAACTAAATGATCTGTGTTAATTAGAATCCATCTGTCTATCTGCGAGGTGCAAACAGTGTGACAGAAAGTATTAGTACACTTCACGTGCATGCATGCGTAGTCATTGCTCCTCAGAGAGATCCTGATGTATTACAGTGTCAGGACAAGGATATTGAAACTTACAGCATCAATCTATTATTCATGCTGAATAATCTGTTATTGCTGTATAGAGACTCTTAAAATGATAAAATCTCTCTTCCTCAGCCACTCCTGCTCTGCTCAGTGTTTCTGGAGGCAGCGTTAGAGATCACGCAATGTATGTAGTTGATTAAGGTGGGACGAGGTCTTTTTTTGCTTCTCAGCTGAGTGTGCGGTGAAGATGGTAGATGCACAAACTGCTGAGTAGATGCAAAGCCTGCACGTCCCCTCTCACATGTTAACGTGCAGTTTGGAAAATCCCTGTGCAGAACTATGGGCTAAAATATAGCAAGACCAGATTCTGTTTTATGCCAGACCTCATTCCACTGCTCTGTGTTCACACACACTTTAAGGCATTGCCCTGACACTGTAAAGGAGTCTGAAGGCAAATGAAAATTCAGGCCATCATATTTCAAAGGCATATGCACCCGTGTCCACACTTACCTTTGGAGCTGGAGGAGACCAAGTTGTAATTTGAAACAGAAATAACACTATCAGCTTTAAAATCAGAGTTTCACCTAGGGCCCTTCCCCGCCTCCCTTCTCTCCCCGAAGTTAAAGTTCAACTATTTCATTTGTAAATGCAGCTCTGTGATAGAATCAGAAGCAGAAATGCGGAGGTGCCATTAGCTCAGTCAGGCAAACAAGCTGCTCTGGCTCCATCGTAAAAAACCTGACTGTAATGTTAACTTCTGCTATTAGGGTAAAGTATCCCCCCACCAGCCCTCCAGGAGCCCTTCTCTATTTTCGGCTGCCTTTCTCTTACGGATGTTAGTATTCTGGTCACTCAAGCTAGTTTTTTTCCCTGCTTGTGGATCAGGAGGGGCTCCTTCATGCTCTCCCTTCCCAAGTCTTCCCAGACCCCAGGGGCCTGTTGGCCTCTCCTCTGCCCAGCGAGGTGTGCATGAGGTCTGCTTGAGAGACGCCGCAGATCTCTTCCTTCCTGGGTTCCTTCCTCATTCTGCTGGAGCAGCTTTGACATCCTCCTGGTTCAAGGAATACGTACTGGCGGTTTTCTCTGTCCTTTTCCAAAGTTCACAGTTTTGGGGTTTTGTTGTAGTTGTTTTTAAACTGAGGAAAAGTGAAAAATGGAATCACATCAATAAATAATTGGCCCAAATCACTATGTAATGCATGTATTCATCACTGGGAAGAACAAGTGGATTTTTAATAGAGTTTCATCTCTCAAGGTTGATGCATACTGTTCTGACTGAAAGATATCAGTGATATTTCAGTTCACAACACTTGCTTTGCATCAAAATAGTCCTTGGCAGACTTGGTGATGGGAGACCCTTCTGCCATGTGCTGTACGTGGCAATGAGACACAACCTTGTCCCATAGAACCGATGGAGGTTAGAGGGCAGGAGGTGACTAGAGGCTACCAACAGACATAAGCAGGCATAGAAGGAAAGCACAGACGGGTTTCTGAAGCAAAGGCAGGCAGGGCCTGCCAGGAACCAAGGGCAGTGTCAAGTTGCATGGCTGCTACATGGCAAAGGGGACTTTTGAGAAGAGGTAGGGAGTAGTTTTATAAATGTTTGAGAAACTCTTTTCCAGTTTGAAAGACAGGATGAGATCCATTTTTGAAATTGAAGAAAAATAGTGAAGGACGCTTAAAGTGAAGACCAGGAGTATCTGGTGATGTAATGGAGGAAGGGGTACTGCTGCTGAGAGTGTGAAGAGAATTGGAGAGGTGCAGAACTTTTCTTTGGCCACACTGAATTTAAATTGTGAACTGTCAGAAGAACAAGCCAGACCAAAATATGGCTGGAAAGGATGATGCAAGATGATCTTCCTATGTCTCTATTAACAAATAGTGCAAACATACAGAGCAGATTTCTAGAGAGAAACAAGTCAGGGCTAAAGACCTGACATCCATGTGAGACACTTTTTAGGATGTTTTATCTCAGATTTTTAGTCTGATCCCACAGACTGAGCAACCATTAGCAGCTGGAGCATGTGAGGTGTGCTCCTAGTACACATCTGGTCTGGCTCTTCCAAAAAGAATCCAGCTTATGCACTCTGGAGCACTGTGGTGTGAACTAAAGCATGGTAAGTTGGGGCAATCAAATGATTCACCTCAAATGTGAGCTCCTGATCCAAACTGAAGCACTGCTATGCACCTTAAAAGTTTGTCCTTCACAGCATGGGAGCATCTTTGCTGGACTTATGACAGAAGTGGAGAATAAATGTGTGAATTGCCAGAGTGTGGATCGTAGCTGAATTAAAATCTTCTTTTTGGAGGGGTGTATTTGCTTTTATTTTCCTGGTTGTTGTCATGTGTTTCCAGAATTTTAATAGTTGTTTGCACCACATTTTAAAAGTAATCTCTCTGGTACACAGATTTTCATCACAGTGAACTGCTTGAGCACAGACTTCTCCTCACAAAAAGGAGTAAAAGGGCTTCCTTTGATGATTCAGATTGATACATACAGCTACAACAACCGCAGCAATAAACCCATCCACCGAGCCTACTGCCAGATCAAGGTTTTTTGTGACAAGGTAAGTGGAAAGCCTGATTACCGTGGATAGAGGAGGAACCTTGTTAGACAGTTTATTATTGCTGTATTTTAGACCTAATTAAATGCTTTTTATTTCTCTAAAAAAATGTGTTTCATGGTAGAATTTGGACCAGACATATCATAAATCCAACAGATTATCATGTAATTATCTTACTGCTTCGCAGCCTTTTTGGCTCTGATTCCTCAGCTTGTGAGCAATGGTTGGATTGTTTAAGGACATCATGTTATAGGTCATGACACAGGAATATAAAAAAAATAATAGAAAGCACAGACATAAAGATCTCTCCTTGGAAGCTCAGTGCTGACCATAGGCTCACACAAGTGCCAGTCTGATGATATTATCCCATCTGGCTCTAACAGATGGGATAGGTATCGTGTAAACTTTGTGGAAAGGTCTCTGATAGAGAAATGCACCTTTCAGAAAGGTCTACTAAGGTCTGTGTTATGATACAGTGGAAAACACTGAGTCCCAGTGATGCAGCTGATGGGTTTCCCCCTGCCTTGATTACATACCATTATTTTGGAAGTTTCAATGAGACTTTTATGTTGCTAGGATCCTCTTATTAAAAGTGAACTGCAAAGTTGTATTAGCCATTCCCATTTTGTAGTTCAGTAATGATGTATTTTTCCTTTTTTGGCTCACTCCCTCTTTTGCAAAATTTGGCTTTTACAATGTGTTTCCCCACTCCTTTGTGGGCATTGGTAAGATTTTTCAGCACCAAAACATAGATCATGCCTTAATGAGTCTGACAGTGTCATGGTCAGCTATATGTATCACTGAGTAGAAATAGTTGCTCAGAAATGTTATCTCAGTGATGATTCTTAGATGTGAATGTGACCACATTTCAGTTGTGTTTAACGCCTGCCAGCCGATGACTTTAACCCTGCTGGGAAGTATCTTCCAGTGGGGAGCTGATGCCTGGATTCTAGTCAAGGTTCAGGGATTCAGGAGCCTACATCTATTTAAGTGACTTGGAAATGTATCCAAATTAGTCTTGCCTTCTTACAAGTGGGAATAGAAAGGCAAAAGGCCATGCCCCAGGCAGTACATAGCATTAACTTTTTAATGGAAAGGGTAAGAGTTCAACTGTTCCAGGTCTCTGTGCTGCTGCTCCTTCCCCTTTTTCAGTTCATTCCCCTGTTGCTGTCTTGACAACGGGATCTTGAGGGCTAATCAGTCAGTTGTGTTAGTGGAGTAAAAACTTTGAAAGTAATGAATGTAAATGTATGCACTGAGGTCTTCTTGCAGTCAAAATGTTATGCTTTTAATTGTAACTTTGAATGTCAAACATTTTGAGATTTGAAGCTGCAGCTGGATGTTAAAAGCTCAGTAGATATCAAAGTAACAAGTTGTTTTTATCTACCTGTTTTTGAAAAGCAGTTAAAAAAATCTGAATTATTTAAAAAAAGGAAGGAAATTCAGAGCAAAACTCATCAAGGGTGACCTGTAGTCACAACTGGTGGAGATTTTGAATAGTACATGTTCATTGCATCTATGGGCTTAATTGGTACTTCAAATACCCAGACTAGAAAGCAGGAAATGAATGTTGAGTCTTTTAATCAAAACTGTCTCAAAGTAGAAGAAAAGATCACAGGGGTAGTTAAAGCGTTATCCACATCAACACTGTATTGAAAGTGAGAACTGGAGGGCTCAAGGGTATCGATAATGGGATAGATATCTGTATAATATAAATATATACACGCACACATGCACACAGAGCTTTTTAACTTAATGCCGGGCTGAAAATGAGTTGAATGAATGAAAATGAATGGAAATTATTAAGGTCAATTCACATGACAGTTTGTGCTAATTGGCACTTGGAAGGAGACTGAGGCCTGATTCTCCCCGCACTTACCTGCTGTATCTTTACCGACCTGCGTTTGTCACGGTGCTTTTGTAAGTAAGAAGTGGTTGGAGAATTTCCACTTGCTGATGGCACTGGAAGAATTCGTCGCACTCAGAGGAAGGTAGCTGGTGCGGCTGGGTACTCTCATCTTTCCAAAATGCCAAAATAAAACCCTGGCACTGGTTGCAGTGGTGCCAAATGGAGGGTCCATGGCTCAGTTTCTCTGTCAAGTCTGTGACTCGCCCTCTAGAGACAAAGAGAGGGTTTGCTGCCTGTTTGGGGAAGGCCGTGAAGGTGAGACAATTATTGCCCACCTCTTTGTCATGATCAATGAAAGAAGTATTATGGGGCCATTAAAAAAAAACCCAACCCAAACCAACAAGCATATAATACTTTTTATACATTTAAGAAGTGTGAATTGCACCATTATGCTCCATTCTGACAACCCCAAAGAGAAGCTGATGAGAAAAGTGCCAGATTTATTACAGTCACCTGGCTCAGAGGAACTGCACAGTAAATTCCTCCCGCCTAAGTACTGAAACATATCTTAGTTTGAAATGTGGAAGAAAAATTGTTCCTGCGCCTGACAGTGTTCTAACAGATGTTTTTTTCTGCAGTGATGGTGCCTCTTTAGGACCAGCAGATGTGTTTGTGTATTAACTTGGATAAGTCACAGGTGGAGGTGTCCAGTTTTTAAGAAAAACGTTTGCTGAGAAATTCATGTCCTCCAGCTGAAACACAGCATAGCTGTTGTGGAAAGAGTATCCCTGAAGAAATAAAACTGCATTTAGCTAAGTGGTACATATTATATATGTTTTAGTATTTACTCAGGCAGTTACTTAAATTTAGTATTCATTTGCATATAAACTAGCGAGCAACACCAACTCAGATCCAGTGTGTGCTTTGTGACATAAATGTATGGAGATAAAGGCTGCAAAGGTTGTAATCATGTGCTTGCTCCCTATTCATTCTCCAATCTTTTGTTCCTGTTTATTTTCCAGTAGGCAATCTTCAAAGCAAGTGTTACAGTGCATACCTTGTTTTCTCAGTGCTAATCCTCTCTGCCCTTGCAGTCTTTTTATCACAGGCAGATCACTGATGCTGCTTTAGGATAAGAGAATATAATTTTTATTCCTTAAGTAGGTTGTCAGGGAAACTTGCTACCAGGCCTATTTATATTTATATATTGCAAGATGCTTTAGCCACTGTGTATGAAGGAGCGGAGAATTCAGAGATATTTTGATTTTCTATATGTGATTAGCCTTGCTGAAAAGAAGCAGAGGCATTTGACTTGGCAAATACCATAACATTGTTCCAAAATGAAATAAATTAATCCTGTTGTCTTTGCTCTGAAAAACTACATGTTGTTTGGAATATATGTAGTTCCTGCCCTGTCTTCAGTATGGATTGTCATAGAGAAAATGGATTGTCATAGGGTATTGAGCAGCTCTAATACACTATTAGTCTTCAGCTTTAGAGAGAAGAAGGCTGAAGTCTGTGGGCCTGTCTTACCAGATGTGGAACGCTTTGGCCTTGAACTAGAAACAGGTGTATACATGAGCTTCATAAAGGTGATGGGAGTGGTCCTTATATGATGGTAAGGGCTTTGTTAGGCTGGAGCTAGAATGCAAGACATAAGCTTAAATGAGCTGAAGTCTTGGAAGAAAAATATTTTGAATCAGCTGAAATTCATAGGCTGCACTTTGTTAATGGTTAGTAACAGAAATACTCATTGCATTTATATGAAGTCCAGACATCAATGAAAAAATGAAAAAACCTCATTCAATTATTTGACTGGTCAGAGCCTAATTTATAGTCACCTATGAGAAGTTATTTCTTCTTCTGTCCTGAAGAGATATGCAAACTCTGATTTATTAGAGATGTGTCAGATGGCTCAGCTGTGAAAACTGTCCAGCAGAAATGCACCATCGTGTAGGCTTGGGTGGCCCCTGCACTGTGCCATGTGGGATGCTCCTAGCTCAGGAGGGCTGGTAGGTAGTTTTGTGGGTATTGCAAGTTGCTGCATTTGTAAAGTGGCTGTGGCACAAATAAGCACTGCCGGGTAGGAACGGCTGCCCTGCTCAGAGATTGCCCGCACCCCAAATGACTTGGGGGTGTCTTGCCTTGAATGAATGAAGACAAAGCTGTGAAGTTTTACCATGTTCATAGTTAACAGAGAATATCAAAGAAAAATCATCAAACCATATGTTCTTCATTGTGTATAAAAGGCTGAGTCCCCCTCAGTTTCTGCTTTCCTAAGAAACTCGTGCTTGCTGCCGTGTACAGGATGACTTTCGAGGTTCACCCTGCTACCTGTGAGCAGCAGAGCGGCAGCACTGAGCGGCAGGTAGGGCTGTGGCTGCCTGGCAGAGCCGCTTTGTGCAGCCCAGGGCTCTCAGGGATGTGCCTGCTGCAGGACAGGTGCTGTGAGGCATGTTTTTGCTCCTTTCTGTCAAAGAACAGGTGGCCTTTAAAGATACAGATGTGCCCCTAGAAACAGTTTTGATAAAGGCACAACTCTGAATCCCTTGTCTTCTGTGGTTGAGGTCAGTAACAACTGAATTGGGACCTGAGCCTGGAGGCAGTGTTTCTGTTAGACACCTTCATGATTTTTAAAATGTTTCTTCCGCCACCTCTTTCAGCCTCTGGAAATCTATTGATAGATCACAGCCAGGAGTACATCTTTCCTTGTATTCTTTTCAAGCTTCGTTCATTGTCTCATGTGTGTGAAATTTGCCATCTTGAGTGGATATTTTTGTCTTTCCTTACCTACCTCCCCCTCCCCTCTTTCTTTTAAAGAAACTTCTAATTTTAATTTGGAAAGAAACATTAATTTTGCATGCTGACTGTCTGGGAGCATATGGATCTTTAATGCCCTTCACAACATGACTATTCATATTTATAAAGTAAATTAGCAGAACTTCAAAGGAGGTGTTGCTGCTTTTTATGTCAATAACAAGTTTTATTTTCTAAACTTGTTGAGAGTGTATTTACATAACAGAAGCCTGCAACTTCCCAGGAGTTCCTGGGGCCTTATAGGGCAGCGCTACATTGCTTTCCAGTGTCTGGAGGGCTTCTCCCTGTTTGAAATGCCTGTATTTTTCTGTAAGAGCCCTTGCACTGTTGGCAAGCTGTCAGCATAGCCTTCTTGCACTGGCACATCTCAAAGGCCTCTACAAAGCTGGCCACAGTGGAGCAATGCCATCCCCAGACAAGGTGGGTGGAGGAGAGTTTAGGGAAAAGCTTAGCACAGACATGATCTAAGATGATAGCAATCCTGCAGGTGTTTTACGTCAGTACCTACGCAAATTATTTGGCCTGAGCACTCTGTCCATCGCAGAGGCACTGGGCTCAGGGTGCCTTCTGCACAAGTGGTGGCAACAGCCCTCCTACAGACTGCATGCTGCCTGAGCTGTCTATCCCATCTCCTCCAAGCCAACATGCAGATATGTTCCTCTTGCTGTGTCCAGCCCTGGAGGCTCTTGGATGTGCCAGCCTGAGTTTCAGGCACAGATGATCAATCCAGAGCTGGCACATTCCCAACAACCTGGACAGATTTATCCGTAATGGAATAATCAGTTTCTGTTTCAGCATTTCTGATGTCTCTGTTGCTGTAGTTCCAGGCCTCGCAGGGTATGATGCTCACAGTGGCCTCTTTGGCTAATGGCTGTGGATTGTCTTTTTTGCATCAGGGAGCAGAAAGGAAAATCCGAGATGAAGAGAGGAAGCAGAACAGAAAGAAAGGCAAAGGCCAGGCATCTCAAGCCTCGTGTAATAACTGTGAGTAAGATGGACCTTTCTGGTTTGGGGCTAAATCACGCTTAATATGCCTCCTCTCATAACCACGTTGCTTTGTAATCCTCCTAGCAGCTGAAGGGAAGTTGAGTGCACTCCCTCTGCAAAAAAAGAGTGATATCACCTTCTTCAAAACAATGGCTGACCTGGATTCTCAGCCAGTTCTCTTCATACCGGATGTTCACTTTGGAAACCTACAAAGAACTGGACAGGTAGGAAATGATCATGAGATGAGCCGGTGCCCACCTGCCATCCAGCCGTGTGTGGTCCTAAGGAGGTTTTAGGAAAACAAAGCATGGTTCCTGGGGGCCGTTGGTCAGCTCTCATTTTGGTAAATGCAGCTTTTGGTGAGTCACTTCAAAAAGACATTACAAGAAACAACTGCCTTTCCGAGTTCTGGGTGTGAAAAAGAAGTTTATACTTCTTTAACAACTGACTAGTTTGTGTTTGTTACGGTTTTGACATTCTTCTGCTAGGAAGAAAGAATGGAACAAATAGTCAAGAATTTTGAAATAGAAGGTTGATTTGTGACTGAAAGTCTGGTTTTGAATGTGCTATTTGGCTTGATGAAATGAAGTGCCACCTTGTGGTAGCAGAGGTCCCCCTTCCTGTGACAAGTGAAAACAAAGACCAAGCTCTACATGTGTAAGGAGGTCAAGGGTAAGCTCACTAAACACCACTGCCCATTTTCTGTCAGCATCACCTAGAGATCTGGGAATTCCTTGGAAAATATTTTCACTCTACAAAGTAAAAATCTGTCATGCTAATGTTAATATTCAGTACTGGCTTAGTGCAGAAGTCATGGAGTCATTATCACCAGGAAATGTGAGGAAGTCTTTGCTGACTTGAATCTTCTAAGACCTACTTTATTGCTTGCTGGGAAATTGCAAACCTGAATTGGAGGGTCAGCTCTGACAATTTTTTGAATATGAACCTGTTATTTATTAACATCTCAAAGAATAGAATGAGACCTTTATACATGAGTTTATAAAGACAAAATAAGGGAATTTTATACACTTCTTGCTGCAAAAAATATTAAAATAATGAAGGTTAAATGACACTGGGTGTTGGAGTTGTCATTTATTTTAACGCAGTGAGAATTGTGGTAGAGCAAAGCACGAAGAGCACAGACATTGCAATCACAGCTGTCACTGACTTACTCTCCAAAATTGGAAAGACGCCCACTCACATATCAGTGCTGGGTGCCTTCTGTCCTCATGGCTTTCAAAACAGAATGTGGATTTGTCTCAAAACAGGAGAAGGTAGAAACATTCCCTAATATATGTAATCCTGTAAATAATTTTCTAAACTAACTGGAAGATACTCCAGTTTGCTAGCTCTTAGGCAACGTCCAACTCTGTCTTTTACTGCTTGTATAGGTTGCAATATTGGCATTCTTGCTATCCTGAACTTTGCAATTGTTTTGTGTATTACCTAATATAAAAATGATTTATTATGACAATAATTTATTATTTATGAATGCTTTATTATGAAAGTGTAGCCACTTTCAGGTCCTGGTGATAGAACGAGTTACAGACCTCAGCTTTGCACACACACATGCACCTCTGAGCTATTTTCACTGTGCAGGTTCAGAAGTGAAGGCTCCCCTTGAGAGCCAAGTGTGCCGAGTCTTGCCAGCACAAGCGCTGGAAGCCTGCCCGAGGTGCCTTGCTCTGCTCCGGTGCCCTCCCTTCGCCCCACGCTTGCACACTAACTGAACAGCTTGAGTGCTGGGGCACTTCTTGGTGTGGACCCACGGGGCAGGCACGTTGTGAGGAATTTGGCTGACTGTTCTGCAAAGCCTTTGACAACTGACTGATTTTGTATCTTCCCAGCTACTGTTAGCCACGGTTGCTGCTGTTGTAAATTTGGTCCCAGTGACTCTGAGCTATACTGATTTACACAAAACAATGGTCTGGACTTGCACTTCTGCCTGCAGCCTGTGCAAAAGAGTTCAGCTGTACCATTAGCAATTGTATTTCCATTAGGCCTGTAGTTTAATGTTGGTCTTTATAGTTTAATTAGATTTTCAGACAGTATTAAATATATACAAAAGCTTGTGAGTGTTGTGGCTTAAATTGTATTAGGGGTAATTTAGGTGAGTAGTGATCTGATTATAAAATAATTTAGAAAATTATATAAACCAGGGAGAGGGCAATGTTTGTCAAAATGCTTTGATATATTTCCACTGATGATATTCAACAGCAGTTTTTCTAAGCCATGCTTTTTCCAGATCACAGTTGGAACTAGAGATGTTTGCGTTTTCTGGAAGGAAAAGAATTTTTAAAAGATAAGAAACTGCAAACCAATTGTTGCCTTTTCTCCCTTTTGAAGTCATTCTGTTAAGCAAGTGTCTGAGTTTTGGGAATAATTTTTTTTTTTTCCACCCTTTCAGGTTTACTATAATACAGATGATGAGAGAGAAGGGTAAGACATTTATTGTTTCACAACCTTTGCAGTTAGCAGTTCAGACTCATAGAAGGCAGACACAAAACATGAAATCAGATAAAACTAATTCCCTTTTCCCCCTTTCCTCATGTTCTCCCATCACTAACAGTAGGTGAATAACATGTAGAACTGGTTAGAGGGAGGTTTATTTGATGATAACTTTCTTTTCCTTCATGCAAACTGGCGGCTTTATATCTATTTTTTATTACATTTCCAAGTAAAACAGTTTAAACAGCCATAAAGTTCAATAAAGGGACAGGACAATATATTTGATAAGAAAGTGCCTTTTATATATATAAGGGTGCTCAAATAATTTAAAACCCAGGAATTTTTTACTGGAGCACTGAACTTCACTGCATTCCTGAAAGCTGTTTAGCACTGAACTTGTGTGTATGTGACAAATACAGGAACTGTGGAGAGAATGCCCAAGCGCCAGAGAGAAGAGCAGAAAGAGATCCTGGGCAGGGGGAAAGTTGGAAATGGGAGCACTGCCTATCTGGCTTTGGAGGGGCTGGAATAATTGCAGAAAGTCCCTAAAATAGCTGGAGATGTCATCAAATAGGGGCTTTAGTGTGTGTGGCTGAAGTTCAGCCTGTATTAACTGTAATGTGTGCAAGCCCTATACTTCATAAGTTGCTTGAATCCCAAGTGAGCACCCTCAGATCCGAGAGTTTGGAGTAAGACAATTGCACTCACGTAAGCCTGCAAAGAGAGGCCAGTGGCAGGGAGTGGCTGGGCACCTGCAGCTGACACTGACTTGAAAACACGAAAGGCCCTTTTTGTTTCTTTTATGAAGCCAGTGTTCTTCACAAGGCTCACAGTGGACTCTGAGATACCAAGGCTTCAGTTCTCTCCTCCAAGACTAAAAGGAGATACTGAGTCGTGCCAGAACTACTCCGAGAGGAGGGGGCAGCTGTAGTGCTTTCAGCCCTCAGCTTCCCCAGCAGAGCGTGTCACAGCTTTGGGGGATCTGGCACAGCATGTTATTCCTTTTGAACTTGCTGGCTTGTACGGTCTTGGATTTTATAAATATTGCCAGTGTTTCCCAAGGCTGTCTCCTTGACCCCAAAGAGGAGATAAATCGATGTATAAATGTAGGTCCAGCTCCTTTACTTAGCTGTTTCTTCCTCTCCACCCTCCTTCCCTCAATATTTAAACAGTTAAGGGCTGTTGGGATTTTCAAAATAGTGTGTAACATTGGAGCATATTTTCCTGTCACCTGTACCAGACAGTCAGTCTGGGCAATTTGAGAGGCTTGGAGTGTTCAAATAAGTGTCAAAAGCTAAATCCTGACAGTTTCTGGTCTGGTGCTACTTGAGTAGCTAGTGGGGTTTTTGCCAGAGTACAAAGTGAGTCATGACTGCTGGTGTTGTCTCCTCTACTGTTGAGAGCACAGTTTTACTGTGACATGGTCCCTGTTGTGTGTTTTCCAGTAGCAGTGTCCTAGTCAAAAGGATGTTCCGGCCTGTGGAGGAGGAGTTTGGTCCATCCCCTTTGAAGCAAATGAAAGAAGAAGGCCTGAAAAGAGGTAACAGTCAATTCATAACACATAAAAATAATGCTCTGGAACTCATGCCCTCAGGCTGGGAACGGCAGGTGTGGCTCAGACCATGTCAATTGTTTGATAGTGAAATGTGGGGTGCATGGGAGAAGATACCATTACACCTACTGGTATACAAGGAGGCATTTTAACAAATGTTAATAATGATTTAAAAGCAGAAAAGAAAAAGGACTGTGCTATCTCAAGAAGGGATCAGGACACAAGTGTATATAAAATATAAAAAAGCTAGATCCTTGATCCTTGGCCAAGCTATGCAGTTCATAAATGTTCCAGTAGCAAATCTGTGGTTGTCTATTTTTAACTTTTGCTCATCTTTTCTGTTCTGGCTGGGATCACAAGCAAATATGCAAGATGCACTGGGTCAAATACAGAGACCTTACACAGGCAAGCTCCTGCTGACTGCAGAGTGAGATTAGCCTGAATAAAATCTCAGAAATTTCCTACGCAATTAGAAATATAAGGCATGGAGAGATATATTCCAGCAGACCTAACTGAATTGTTCAAGAGCTTGTTTAACTGTTTCCCTTAACTGTTTTCACTGCCCTGAGTGAATATTATCACAGTTGTTTCATATCCTATACCAGTCCAAATCTTGTTTTCCAGTCTGCTACAGTGAAGTGTAAGTTAAGTAACATTGAAGCAATGGTTTAGGTAGAGCTGTTAAACTTTGAGCTGAAGGTAAAGGATGAGCAGATGGTGGTTTTGTCCACAAAATCTGCTTTGTGTACTGTCACTTCCAGTGCAGTGCTATAGGTGATAGCTTCCTACACTGCCACCATTAAACAGTCTGAGAATATATGCCATTCCCTCAGTCTCGTGAGTTCTGTCATGTAAGTTTATTGGAGGCTCCAGGGGTTTGAACAACTTATATAACTCAAACTTGCAAATGTTTTGAGGTTTACCCATTAGTGTGTGAGAAAACAAAGCAATAAGGTACAGAAGTGAGCTCAGTTGTTCTTAGTTGCACCGTATGTAAGACTCATTTGAGATATATGGAACCAACTTCCTATAAGCCTGCATTAGCAAAGTTTCTCTGTTGGCTAGAGTGGTGTGCTTCAACCAGGAGAAGCGTATAAGATTACAAGGATGGAGACTGATATCTTCCTGGAATAAATGTGAACATATTCTTCTTTTAATTAAATCTTCAAGTAATTATGTGAGGTCAGTACTGACCACAGACTTGCATCTTGTTGCCTCAAGGCCTTGACCAAATTCACATTGTCAGGGCTCCATCAGGCAGAAGGGGACAGCCACAAAGGGTACATAAAGAACTATCTTCACCTGGGTTTCCCAGCTGGAAGCCTGGAGAATTGCCTGCAAGGAGATATTGGTTTTCTTTGATTATTCCTGTCCTTTGCTGTGGTAAGTTGTTTTAATATTGTCCAGGATTTGCAACCATTTCAAGGGGAAGAGTTGAAAGGAAAAAAAATGTTTCTCAACTGGTGGCAAAATTATGTTAAATAATTAAATCCAGGAGAGGCACAGAACCAGAGAAGCTGGAGGATGCTCTCTTCACATCCCCTTCCTGTTCAGTGTTTCTTGCAACTTGGACTATGCTGGCTGGAGGCCAAGCCTCTTCCAGCATGGCCTTTGCTCTGGTGAACTTCCTGCCATCGGGAACCCTGCATCTGGGATTGTGCTGCTGGAGCTGAATCTGCCCAGTTGGCAATACTGTCTTTGCCACAGGAATCACTGGGCATTAAAATATTCTGCTGTTTTTCTCCCAGATTTATTTTGCACAGCAGAATCAATAGCTCTAGAGAGCAGGTATAGATGGAACACCAGTATAATATTTGAGAAAGTGCAGGTCTGATATGTGAAAATATGCATTAAAAGCAATGTAATTCCAAGGTGGCAGTCGTGGTTTAACCCATGTTTGCAATAAGCACCATACAGCCACTTGCTCACTTGACCCCCTGACCAGTGGAATGGGAGAGAGAAATATGAAAAAAGTAAAAGTGAGGAAATCAGTGTGTTGAGGTAAAGACAGTTTAATAGGTAAAGCAAAAGCCGCACACGCAAGCAAAACAAACACAGAATTCATTCACTGTGTCATACATAATGGCTACTTGGGAAGACAAATGCCTTAACTCCAAACGTCCCCCCTTCCTTCTTCTTCCCACAGCTTTTTATTGCTGAGCAAGACATCATATGGGATGGAATATCCCTTTGGTCAGTTGGGATCAGCTGTCCTGGCTGTGTCCCCTTCCAACTTCTTGTGCACCCCCAGCCTCCTTGCTGGTGGAGTACCCCAGCAGAAGCAGAAAAGGCCTTGACCTGCATTGCTCAGCAGTAACAGAAACATTTCTGTGGTAGCAACACTGTTTTCAGCATGAATCCAAAACACAGCCCCATACTAGCTACTGTGAGGAAAATTAACTCTGTTCCAGCCAAAACCAGTACAGGTGGCTCATTATCAGAGCAGTGCAGGTAAGTAGGACCCAGTGAGGGATCCAGGCCCACCTGATGAACTGTGACAGTGTGTAGCCTCACCTCTGCGTGGTGGACCCAATTGTAATACTGTCCAGTGGAAGCAAAAGTGTTCAGGGGCAGCCTTCAAGAGAACAGGTCTGAAGGGGTTTGCAAACCATTGGTAAAACAAGGTTCATATTCTCACACAGGTAGCTGCATCTTTGTTAATTATTCTTTCATCTCCTTGACCTCTAAGGGAGGTACAAGTGCCCAATACAGAAATGTAAAGTATGTTAATCTGTACCAAGTGTGCAGTGCAACTAGTTACTTGGCTAGACTTGTGGTCTTTTCCTGTTTTGAGTTCTCAGTAAGAGTTTTCAAATCACTTTCCCTTTCAGATTTCATAGGGAGTTTCCCGTTAATTATAAATCCAGCAGCTGTGTTACAGATCAGGGCGATGTCCAGTCCTGTAGTTCTCAGCTTGAAGAAAGTAATATTTTTGTCTAGCTTTTGTGTCTCAGGAGAGTCATGTTAAACTACTCTGAAACATTTTGGATTCATAAGAATCAGGCTTTTGTGAACCGTTCCTGTGGAGGACAGCATTCACTCTGTCACCTAGGGAATTTGTGCCTGGGCAATTAGTGAAAACTCCAAATGTAGGAAAGAAAAGCTGGGTCACAGCTACCAGCCCTGCCTTCCTTGTCTAAAATGTGCCACATCTCCATCCAGAGACCACTTTACAAAGACTGTAGTAGTTACTCGTCGGGTGTCTGGGCTCAGACCTGGCTGGTGGCCCAAGCAGGAGGACTTACTGTCCCATCATGTCCGTAGTTTCATTTTTGCCACATGTCTGTTGCTTGTCTTCTGCTGTGGCAGAAGAGATGGAGAGCCAAGCTGTTAACACTTTTAAAAGGGGTAGTTAACATTGTTCTTCTGCATTGACACTTAAATCCCCAGTTCAGTGGCCTGGCTTCCAAAAATCTCCCAGGTACAACCACCTCCCTTGCCTTCAGCAAAGGCTGGTTGCCACTCTGCAATTTTGTGAAACAGGGCTATTTCTTAAGTAACTAGAGATAAATTTATCACCCCTGTCTTCTGCAATTCTCTTTCCCTCCACCCTGGATGTGCCTCCTGCTGCGGGCCAGCCAGCCTTCTCCCTGCAGTTATGCCAGCACGAGGGCTTTTGGGTCTGCATTGTACGCTGAAGCAGGGACCTGATCTGTCTGAAGAACAACTCAGAACAAAGGGTTGTTTTTTCACTCACATCTGCTGTCTGAGAGAGTTCATCATCCAGGAAAATTCACTGAGACGGGTCAGACCATAAGGGCAGGGATGAGACAGGGGCTTCTTAAGGCATCACTGTCACCAGAAGTCATTTATGGGAAGGTGCCCTGGTGAATCAAAGCCAGGATTTTCACACCTGTTGGGGGAAAGAAAAAAACAACAGTCTCCCATATGTTTACCAATCCTGGCTCTCTGTGTGTAAAATAGTGATTGAAGTTCCCTGTTATCCTTGTAATGGATCCTTCGTTCAGCATAACGTTGCCTGACATATCAAGCACAACAGAGAGATTTAAAGCTCAGCACTTGGATTGTATAATGTCCCCAACTTTAACCTCGGACTAAGTGATTTTCCCTCCTTTCAGATACGTTTGTAATTATTAAGGCTGGCAGAGGTCCATATATTTGAAAAGCCAGGAGTTACAGGACAGCCCTCTAGTCACAAGAAAAGAATTACTGAATTAGTAAAAATGTTAGTACAGGTAAAATTAACGCTTTGAGTGAGTGCTTGCTCATGCAAGTAAACATATTAAACTAAAGTTTAAATACCGATGTGGATTTTTTTTGTTCTCTTCTATTCTGAGAGTTATTTAGATGGTGACCCAAAGTTATCTGAGCTTCTAAGTCATTTAAAAGGACACTCTCAGGCAGGTCCCAAAGAATTACCAAAACATGTGCCTGTGGTAGCAGTTTTGTGGCTTATACTTCTAAATTAAAGATGCAAAAAACCACCATTGTCCTGCACATCTCGTTTGTAGACCAAGACAGGGGACTGGTCTGCCCATGTTTTAAATCTTTTTTCAAAACCTGGGCAAAGAAGCTACAGTTCTCTGGAAGTGGGCCTAAGTCCACCCTGCTACAGTAGTGACCTGAGAATTAGCTTCCAAACAGTTGCCTCTGTATGAAAAATACCATCATCTCCATTGGTTCATCTGCAAGTCATCTATTGAGTTACCTGGTGAAGATATCCTTTGGACCACAAGGATTAGCAGTTTCAAAAGATACCTTTTTCTGCCTGCCAAAAAAAAAAAAAAAAAGGTGATTGCCAATATAGTTTGTCACACAGCTATAAAATACATAACTGGGCGTGTGTTTGTCCCTAACGTGCAGCACTGCTATTTGAAAAGGCATTTTATTTAGGGAACAAAATAAATTGTGGAACATCTTATGTGACCTGCTACTTTTTCAACATCATGTGACATTACACCTAAAACACTCCTCTAGAGTTTATGTTTATTCACTTTGTAGCTGTCTGCTTTGCTTTTGCCACGTAGCAGCAAGTTTCCTCCTTTTACCAGTACAAGTCAAAGCGGGGAGAGCAAGAGCTAGAGAGGGCAGGGTACAGCGCCTGTGAGCCACTGAGACCCAGCAGGACACCTGAGGGAGGAAGAGATTTTCAGAAGTACGAATGGCATTTGGGTACCCGAGCAGGGGTGGGCATGCAGGTAAATGCCTGCCTATCAGATATGCCCTTGAATGTCCCCCCTGTAAAGTCTCAAAAGACTTGAGGCTCGTTCTTTCCAGTGTTTATTTTCAGACTGGCCGGGCCCATTTGCAGTGTGTAATGTCAGAGCGCGCTATTTTCCTTTTCATTGACTTTGCTCTCAAAAGCTCAGCTAAAGGCAAACCAGATTTGTCTTTTCTGAATATCCTTTCCCAGCCTTTTGGATGAAGCCTGGAGAGGTGCAAGCCGACCCGCAGGTTTAGGAAGACCTAGCTTGTGTGTTTTGTCCTACAATGCAGTGACAGGGCCCCAGTGCTTTTTAGCTTCTCTTATTTCAGTAAATGGAGGTCTAAATTCTTGAAGATATAGATTCCCCACATTAAATGAAATTTGCTGAATTTTCTTCCTGTGTTTTCAAAGCAACGATGATGTGTCTTCAGTGTTTAGATCACTGATAATATGAGAGTACATTTTTTTTTAAAGTGCAAACCATCTTCAGCACTTCATTTTATCTGTCATGGATTAATATTTGTTTTTCTACTCAGTGTGGTGTGTTTTATCTGTTCATTTGACTGAACCTGCTCCAAGTTTGACTTTTTTTTCTGTTTCAGTGCTTTTATATGTGAGGAAGGAGACAGATGAGGTGTTTGATGCTTTGATGCTGAAATCACCCACAGTAAAGGGGCTAATGGAAGCGGTAAGTATCCGATGTCCTCACATTGTTTGTCTTTCTTGGCAAGAAAATCTTGAGGCTTTCAATGTATTACTGAGATAAAACGCAATATAAAGATGAAGTTATTCTCAAATACATTTAAAGCATTTCATAAAGGCTTTCTGGAGCATACCTCTAAAATGCTGGCATGTTCTGAATTCAGTGCTGTTAGCAGGTTGCTGGGATTAAATAGTGTCACAGGGCTGGTTTATCGGAGACCTGAGCTTTGAGGAATGGCTGTAATTAACCAGTGTCAGGGAAGCAGAGGGATGCAGGCTCCATTTTCTGAAATGCTTATTTCTGAACTGATGATTCAGAGCCTGTTGAATCTTTTCCTGTAATGCCCATCGGTGTGTTCACAGCCATCTTTTAAAGATGCTGCCCAAGGATGCAATGCTTCCATGTGAATTTCATATGGCTTTTGTGCAATTCCTGTTCCAACATATGAGGCAGCTGCTGAAAGCATCCCTCCTGCCTCAAATTTGTTCTGTAGCCCTCGCTCCCAGTGACCTACCTAGCAGGCAGCCTACCTTGCTGCTTTGTTGGTTCAAGTTTTTGCTTGTTACCCGTTCCTTGTGATCTTGAGTGGCTATTTCCACATTTAATCCTGTTTGTATGAGCTGATGTGTGAAACTTGGTGAGGGAAGAGTTAAGAAGCAACCACATGTCTCCTGCCTCAAATTTGTTCTGTAGCCCTCGCTCCCAGTGACCTACCTAGCAGGCAGCCTACCTTGCTGCTTTGTTGGTTCAAGTTTTTGCTTGTTACCCGTTCCTTGTGATCTTGAGTGGCTATTTCCACATTTAATCCTGTTTGTATGAGCTGATGTGTGAAACTTGGTGAGGGAAGAGTTAAGAAGCAACCACATGTCTCACTGCTTTGGTGGGGGGACTAATGTGAGATTGACATGTGGGGCACTGAGTTGATTTCCAGCCTTGGTTACATGTAGGAGAGAAGATGGGAATGGACGAAAGTGTCCCTAGAGAGCAGAGAGCTGGGTGCTAGAAGTACGTATATTCCTACTTTCATAAAACTGTCACAGTGTCTTATTGCATGTACCAGACACTTCAAATGCAGTAAAGGTTGAGTTATTTAGTCAACATTTGGCCAGTAGCAGAAGGCAAAAGAAGATTTGTGGGTTAGTGAAGTTGTTTAAAGCACCTATTCAGATCAGGGTATCTCTGAGGAGAGTCAGCATTCTACGGATGTCCTAACTGTGCTTTTGGTACTGTTTGTTAGCTGTGACTGCAGCTCAGTTCTTAGGCAGAACACACATGTATAGTAAAAGCCAGGCTTTTCTTGAAGAGGCAATTCACGATAAGCTGTAGCACTATTTCATCTTGCCTTTATATGGAAGTTAAAAGTATGTTATAATCCTTCTATCACCCTTCAAGCTAACATGAATATTTTATCTCCAGTAGTCTGTGCCTCTCCATGCCTGTTCTCCAGCCACTGTGTAACACAAAAACAAAGCTGGTGCAGAAGCAGGAAAGGTTTCTGCATACCTCTGCTAGCACAGCTGCTGACTCAGTGGCATGTTTTCCGGACCAGAGAAATCTGATCTGTTGTAAAATGTCCCAGTTCACTGCAAGGAACACACTCAGAAACTTTTTATACTCTTTGGTAGGATATTGTGTATAAATCAATGCCAAAAAGCTGTCAAACTGCATATTCTTAAATACTCTCTCTACAGTCATTTCAGCGAATCATGTAATTTTGTAATTGTGCATGTCTTAAATGTTCAATTCTAAACTCAGTGCTAAGAACTTAAGAAACTGAGGCTCTGAACATTATAGAGCCCCAGATCTGAAAGAGAGCACCAATTATCCTGAATCATACCCTCCTTCTCTGTTTATGGATTTTACTTTTTTTTTTCTTAATCACTTTTCGTAGTCTGTGGCTTTCTCCTAATTTTCCATCATTAATGATATTGTTTTCTCAGATACTACGTTTATTTTATTCTCTCGTATACCCCCATTCCAAATGAACAATTAGATTCCCTCTCAGATTTCTCTCTCCTGGCAAATATCTAGAGGTCTAAGGTTTCAGAGACAGAGTACATCTCAGAAAGTGGTGCAAGTGGTTTTTAACATGTTTGCATCCTAGACTAGTCAGTCTTGATCAACGGAAAATAGTGAAAGAATTGCCTGTCACAAAACATCACACATATGTGGTGAATGACCAACCAGCTCTAAATCCTTCTCTCAGCCTGATCCAAAGTCAGGTTAACTCTGTGGATCTCAGGTACCTGAGTTTTACATTGTGCAGAATCACATATTTATTCGAATTACAGAAGGTGATCTAAGTTGGGAAATTCAAGCATCTCCCAAAGTCTTTCTAAAATTAAAAGCTAACAGCTGAGCTCAATAGAGCTTGCTTAGACCAAACTTCATTAGCTACCTGTCTATGTATGTGTCCTTCCAACCAATGCAGGGCAACAGACGGGACCATTCAATAGAAGTAAGTTGGCAAAAGTGCTTTTCTACGTGCCTCAACCAGCCCAGATGTTGCCCTTTCTGTCTTCCTGACTCCAGCAGAGAAAGCATTTCTGGTGGCTTGTACAATCAGATATGTGCTACAGACAAACTTCCCCTGCCAGGGGACTGCAGCCCAGAGGGACACCCAGACTGTTATTTCAGTGCCACTCTGAAAGCTGACCCACTGCTTCAGGCATCCTAAGGGAAGGAAAGAATTCTCTGCTCAGAAGATTGAAAAACGAACAATGGAGATATTAAAGGAAAATATTCCTCCAAATAAAGATATTTCTTTAAAATTCATTGTAGTCTGCTTGGGGTCAGGTGAGAAACCCTGTTATTTTATATGGAAGTTGGCAGTAGTGGTGTTCCCCCTGAGTTGGCAACAAATGTGTTTCAGAAGAGGTGTTAAGTGAGATGCCCTAGCAGATGGTAGCTCTCTGCTTTCTCAGATTCTGCTGCAGGACTTAGCACATTTGCACTGGAGACTTGTTTTCTGAGCCTGTGAGGGGGAGGCTCTCCCATACCCCCTCTTTGAGTCTTGCTTCCACAGCTCGCCGTTTCGTATAATTGGTTGAATCCTTAGGGGTTCCTGAGAAATGTGCTTATTCAGTCAGCTGGAAGTCTTTTGCAAAGCTCACTAATCCCTGCATGTTATATAAATCCTGCACCTGTCATAAGCAGTGTGACAGGCAAGGCAAGGCTTTCTCAGCCCTACTTTTCATAGCTTGTGTAGGAAGTGGTGTCCTAGAGTCCCAAACCACTTTGAGCAACATTTGGAATGTGTGAGTGTTAGGTATCCCAAATATCCTAGGGAAGTTTTATGCTGGAATGTGTAGAATGTTGTATATTAGCTGCTATTAAACCTCTTTGGCACAGGAATATTTCTCCCTGCTTGTTTATTTGCATGGAGTGAGTGAAAATTGTCTTCAGGTACTGATTGTACAATATCACTAGGCTTCAGAGGTAACAACCCAGAGAAGAAGATATATAATTTTCTCATGTTCACACAGTTGTGATGTTTTCTGTGGTTTCAGGTTGTAGTTTTACTCTGATGCCTGTTATGAAGGATTTTTTCAACAATCTGATGAAATGGAGCCATTTTAATTATTGCTCTACGTGAAAACTTAAATTTAGGGGTACAACAAAACCACGTACAAAAGTTCAGCACGAGATTGCTTATTTGGTGTCATTCTATTAATGATAAACAAAGCCAGAGTGTAAGAAAGAATAAAACGAGAACATGAAAGCTTGTCTGAGAACTCAAAGGCATTCAAGATGTGCCTTCACAGTGTGGCACCTGGGTACCCCAGAGGAGTCACCAGCCTCAGGTCAGACAGCTGCCCTCCATGGGCAGCACAGGATGAGGCATCGAAGGAAGGGAGACTTGGGAAGATGGTGGTAGACAGGGGTAGAATGTGAGGGGCAAGGTGTGGGTACCTACACCAGTGGTTCTTGCCGGAGGTAGGTGACACCTTCTACTGGGCATCCTGCCCATGGATCCTCCCCTGCATTTATGTGCATAGGCTGTGTCAGGCATTCATGAAGGCTAGGTGGGGCAGCCTGTCCCGTCTGTGATGGAGAGTAGCTGGACAGTAGCTGGACTAGATTAGGACATCCCACACAGGGATATGGCAAACCCTGGGTTCAATTCTGCCCTGTTTGGAGCAAAGACTGCAACTTGCTCCAGATAAGCTGGGTGTGTTATGGAACTTCTTTGTAGGATGCATTTCCACCCCATGCATGTGGTTACATAACTTTTGCATAGGCTACATAGAGCTCAGAGTGAAAGAGATTGGTTTTATAGTCTGATAGTGAGGATGCTTGTGCGAGATAAGACAAGTGGGGTGAAGCCCCTCTTCTCATAAATGTACAAAGTGGACCACACCCCACAGCAGGGAGAATGTGACCCTACAGCATATGAGCTTGCGCAGCCTTGATGCTGAATTAGGCTTCTCCCAAGGCAGGTGAGAACATGGAATCAGGACTATCATCAGTATCTCCAGCACCATACCCAAGAGGGCAGTGAAACATGGTGTGAGTAAAACTGAAGTAACAAATACAACCCACAATCTAATATGCGTTTTGTTCTCTGCTAGATGCAAAACTCAGAGAGTGGATGGGTCTAGTGTACCTTATCAGTTACTCCTTATTTACATCCTCCCCTTTCTGTTAGCCACAGATGTACGCTGTGGTCAGGGGAAACTGCAGTGTAAAAGAAGCTTTATTCGTTCTTCAAAATCTTGGAATTATGCTATACTTTCTAAGTACAAAATTGCAGCTTAGGTAAAATGACAATTATACAACTAATAGATGATGTAGGCAAGTATAGGCTAATTAATTCTCTCTCTTAGATAATGCTGGCTCTCTGGACGGGAGCTGTGCTTGAGGTTCAACCTGTGGCTGTTTGAATCTGTCCTTGGTGCTGAGTTTATCCATTTCTTTCTATCCATTTTCTTTTTCATGATAACTGCTTTAATTTACTTCTCTAAAATGTCACTTTTTCTCATTGGAAGTCTGAGCACAAACACAAAGAAAGGATTTTACAGTGACTGATGTTTGGCAGTCTTCAAATGGCTTTTTAATTGTGCATTTCAGTTTGCTAATGCAGAAAGATAATGCAGAAGATAAATAGTCAGCTATTTAGCTGCAACTTCATTTCACCTGGGAAGAGCAGGAAACTTACTTTGGTCGGCAGTAGAGTACCACAGAACATTAATCACTGACAAAAATGTAATTTTTCTGTAATTGTTTTGCCTTTTGGGACAATCCTTTTCTAAAGTATGGGCTGTGACACCTGTTCCCTCAAAGAGGGGTCACAATTTGGAAAGGAAACCTGGCTCAGACAGAGGGCTCAGGGACACCATCTCCATGAGCACACCACAGGCTCACTGCGGAATGGACGTCCAAAAACTTACTAAAACACTGCTGCAAAGAAATGCCAAAACATGGGGAAATGCTTGTTAGTATTGGTAATTTGTCAGCTAAATAGTTCTTCCTTCAAAAGTTTTCCTATGTTTTCTGCTTTATCATTTGAGTAGCTGGCAAGAGGTTTATTTTAGAAGTCCTTTACCTTCTTAACACACTTCGCTGCGGCATCTCATCTTGCTATCTGTACAGTCAGATCGTTTTGTGAGTCAAATAGCTTTCTCATTTTTTCATCCTAGTAACTAGACTGAGTCACCTTCCCAACAATACAGAAGCTTCTTAATCCTGTGTGTAGCATGTTTGTGGCCCTCGCCCAATAAAAGGTACCTTGGAGATACTTTTCAGACAAAAGAAGTGCCATGGAGGGTCCTGTTAGCCTAACAAACCTTGAAATGCCGTTGAGAAATAGAAATGTACACATTTTTTTGTTGGTCCATCAATCCATCAGCTCCTGTTGTGTTGCTACTCATCTGCCTTCTGCCCAGTGGAAGAAGCCTTTGCTTCCATGAGACCAGAAAATCAGAATAAGAAATGGCAGAAAGGCAACTCATCAGATTGAAATTCCCTGGTAAAATCTGAAACTGGGAAGAGTGTTGAGTCCTTGAGCAGAGCAGTAGGACATGCTGAGGCAGTTTTGATGACTCACACCCTATGAAAACTTTAGTCTCCAAGTTTCTGGATGGAAATGATTGTGGTTTTTTGATCAAGACGTTTAGGATTATTCCTTCCTGAATCATCCTTAAATGAAGTCATGGTATAGTTGTGAGTGACTTTTCTGTATAGCTATGCTGTCAAATTTTGCAGAGATAGTGCAAACTATGCCTTATATAAAGTGAGAGGTGATAATTTCATATTTCTCATTAGTCTGTAGTGATGTTTCTTTTATTTTTATGATTTCAGATCTCTGAGAAATATGGGCTACCAGTTGAAAAGATTGCAAAACTTTATAAGAAGAGCAAAAAGGGGTAAGTAAGCTAACTAACTAGGGCCTATTGCAGGATCCCTTAGAATTACTCAGAGATCCCAACTATGCTTGGGGCCTCATGACGCTGGGCAGTATAAATACTTTTAGGAGACTTGGCCATACACTTGAAATCTTAATGTCTATGGAGACAGCAAGGGGTGGCAGAGAAGGAAACATGAATCTCCAGTCTGTGTCTGACCAGTATTCATAGGCTTACTGTGAAGAAACAGAGTCTGTGTTTGGAAAATGTATTTGGATAAAGTCTGTTTTGTAGACTATACCCTTAATAACATCATGGCACGCTAGCATGGGAGAGGTGCAGCCTTTGCTGTGAATGCAGTGTGGAGTTTCCTGGCAGTGTTAGGAAGAAGTAGGCCACTGTCTGAATCTGAAAGGCAGGCAGGCAATGTTTGCTACACGGATTTTAGCTGAGTAAATTTAGACATGAGCATCACAGCTGTGATTTTAGAATAGCTAGGCTACAACTCCTTGCCATAAATCTAAATCTCTCCTCTTTAACTGTTTTTACTTGTAATAACCACAATAATGTAGTAATATAATTTTAAATCTATCATTTATTTTCAACTGTAACTCTAGCCTAGGATATTGTTTTGTCTGGGGTTTTCTTTAGCTTTTGAGAAGACAGGGGAAACTTCTCATGTTTTACTTCTTTCTAACACTGTTTCCAAGTGATATGTTTGTTGGAAGAAACACTTTATGGTAAGGAGTGAGGAAAACACTCATATACACTTCTAATAGTTGTCGTTGATATTCTCGCATCCAAAATGAGTTCTAGGCCTGCAAGCTGTGTGCAAAGCACAAATCACACTGCTTCCCCGTGTTAGCGACTCACACCAGGGAGGTGCAGCAGCTCACGCGGCGTGGCTGAGGTGTAGCACAGAGGTGTACCTGGGGGAGCCAACACCAAGCATGGGAAACACCAGCTAGCTGGGTCTGCCAGGGATCTAGAGCGCAGCTCACCTTCTAGGCAGCTTAAGTGGGTTAACATCCCAGCACCAGCATGTCCGTTACCTTAACTACTTTGGCAAGGAGTAGCCTCTAATCCAAAGACTATAAGGGACTATGGGGCAGATCTTGATGATGATTCCCACTATTATCCCTGTACTGGCATGTGCTGGAGTCTGTTTTTGTGTTGTAATGAGGCGAGCACATGTGGTGGAGTGCATGGCTTTCCCTTTTAGTATCCTGGTACGTAAAAATATTGATTTTTGCCTTTGTCACCAGTATCTTGGTAAACATGGATGACAACATTATTGAACACTACTCCAATGAGGATACGTTCATCCTACACATGGAGAGCATGGTTGAAGGCTTCAAGATCACACTGACAGAGATCTAGCCTCAGACAGAGCCTTTTTGTAAGGAACCGCAGCATTTCATCATTCTTGGAAAGCAGAAGATTCCCTGTGAACCTGACAGACATTGATCAGAGAAACTGTTACAAGACTGCTTTGAAAATACTGTCCATTCTGCGCGTGTGCACCCACTGCATATAGACTTGGGTTTGTCAAGCACGAGGCCACTCATGTTAACCTGGTCCCTTATTTATTGTTCCCCACTCTCTAGTGTACAAGCAGTTACCAGCCCCCAGATTTGTAACCAGATGACCCACTGCAAATGTGAAATGCAGCATTTTAATCCATACCTTAGTGTGGATAAGCTCATTCTAAAACATGTTAAGAAACTATGCTGGTCTAGTTTCAGAAATCTGGTGTAAATCGCTTTACCAGTAGTTCTCTCCGTCATTGCTAAAAAGCTGGTGCAGTGCTAAAGATGGGGAAAGAGGCTGACAGAGTTCACTTGCTCAGACTGATCCATATCTCTCTATAGTGTATAGTCTTGCCAAATACCTCTGGTAGTTCTCAGCACGTAGCAATGAGGACTTGTAAGTAAGGCATTCAGCTACAAATGTCACTTGTAAGTAAATGGTAAAGAAACCATTTTAACCTTGTATATAATGTTTATAATATGCAATAATATATTTTAACTACTGTATGTGGGCATGTTTACTGCCACTATGTTTTTGTATGTATTGGGTTTAGGGTTTAACAGAATCTTTCCTAGAAGACTAGATTGCTGCAATCTGTTAAGGAGTGTGTACTGAGAAGCTGATAACTGCATCTGCACTCATGTGCTCCACCCTTGCCCACCCAGTTTTATACTGAAATATCAGAGCAAACTGTGTTACAGGGTCTGGGGTGCTCTGACACAATGGGACCCACCTTAGGTGCCCACGTCCCAGTTGTAGATACTTGAGTGTCCCATCCAGCTGTCACCAAATCCAAGAGGTACCATGTGTCTGCTGCCTTGTGTGCCTAGAGGTGCAGAAGGGACTTCTGCCTGTTCTGTTGGTGAAGCAGAGGCTCTCAAAGTGGGCTTTTCTGAAGCCTGTGGAGGGAAAGATGCTTTCTGCAGCAACCTGCTCATTAAAGCATTCCTCTAGACTGTAAGAAACAGGACTTCAAACTCTTCTTAAGGGTGCTTGCTCTGGTATCTCCATTGAATGATTCTGGTTTGATTCCTAGGACAGTTGGGTGAGGTATAAATGTGGGCTTGATGTAAATATTGTATCGAAACTAGAACAATTTTACCAGTGGAGACTGAGTATCCCACAACCAAGGTGTGGGGATAGGTCTGTCACACAAGGGCTGGATCTGAACTCAAGTTGAACTACAAGGTTATCCCACCAAATTCCACCCCTGTCTCATGAATTCTGTGAAGAGAGAAAGCTGTAGGCTAAGATCATACCAGGAAAGGGGTTCAAGGCCTGAGTGTGCCTAGCGCATCCAAACCCAGCACCCCTCTCTACTTTCCAGCTCCTCTGGCTATCGTAGAGTGCTCCTCACTCAGCAGACAATCCTGTGAGTTTCAGCTGCAAGCATTTTATTCTCTGTGCACTGTATGTGAATCCTGTGCGACAGACAGAAATTTGGGTCCTTTCCTACATGCAACCTTTAGAGGTTTTTTTTTTTTCCCTTCTGAAATCCTTTTTGTATTTAGTCACAGAATCTTTTTTATTAGGTTGTTAAAGGCATAAAGAAACATTGCCTAGTTTAACAGGGCTCATTCTATTAGTGTTTTGAGCTGTGTGGAGCTATTTACATCAAGCAAAGTATCTGGGTTAGCTGACCCGTCTGATTGGGTCATGTTTTTGCATGATTTGTCCTGCCAGCTCTTGCACACTTTCTTAACTTCATTAGCAATAGCATCCCATTAAAATCTGTACTTCAAATAGAAGTGTTAGGTACCTGTCAAAGTTTCTGTGGGACCAGAAACTATAAAAAGGTTAGGCCGTTAGCCTCAGGGCTAACATACCTAGAATCCATGTATGTCTGTAAAACAAAGTGTCTGTTCTGTCTTCCTTTGTCATGTGCTGTTTCTCCTTCTGATGCAGAGTTTTGTAGTAATTCCATTATCTTTTTATAAATATGTACTCCAGCAAAGATGCTCTTGTTTCCCTGCTCAAGAGCAGACATCCTGGGAACACAGGGAATTTATGGTGGTTCAGTTTGTTTCTACTTGGCTCCGGCTCAGATAAAAGGTCTGTGCTGACTTAGCCCAGATACCTTTTTCCTAAAGAAAAGAAGAGGATAGTTTTGGCTGGTGGCATTAGGACCAGCACGCAGGACTAGTGAGCAGTGGGTGTTAGTTCTTGTAGTTCTCTGTTGTTTGATGGTGTTTGGGATCTTAAGGATATTATCCGGGATCTCTCAGTTGGTCATGATGTCTGGGCAGAAGCTACAGGTGAAGCATAGGAGTAAATGTACGCAGGAGTTGAGCCCTGGCTCTGCCCCCAGCAAACCTGCCATCCAAGCTCTTACTCACAGGGAATGCCTGTGGTGCCGGGGGCTGGCCCAGGTTGGGATGTGCTGCATTAAGAGAGGACAGTGAGAATTTGGGGTTCTCACAGAGAAGGACAGGGCTGTCCTGGCAGCACCAGCACTCAGGTTAATGGGACTTTTTTGTCTTACACATGGGTGGAGATGATCTGGGATCTGTTGGATGCTGCAGCATCCTGCGCCGAGGAGCAGTGTAGGCTCAGGGAGAAGTGCGATGCTCCAGGAAATACTGGGGCTTAAGGAGCTATCTTTCCATTGCCATTTTAGGAGCTTTTGGTCAGGCACTGTCCAGGGAAGGAAAGTTGCTTCCAAGATTAACTGAAAGCTTTTCTAAATACATCTTAAAGTGTGCAAATTCCTGATACAAGAGAGCTGATACTCCTGCCTTTAGTTCCTTCTTACAGTCTCAATGAAGGTAGCAGGGCTGAGGAAGATGAGTAGGATTTACCCTGATGGTAACAGTATTTTAAAACAACAGCTAGAGCTAATTAAGGATGATCTCCCTTAATTTTATTTATCTGCCAGGGTCTGAGGTCTTTGCTTCTGTGCTCCAGATGCATTGCAAGCACCCAATCATTACAAAAGCACATCACCCTGCACCCTTTTGGTTGTAGTTACAGCAGCAGCTGCTGGAGAACCACTGAACCTTGGATGTTGGTCATGGCAAGCTACAAGCTCTCAGGGTTCACTTCAAAGGGCTTGCTGGTTAAAAGCAGGCTACCAAAGTGATGGGGAAGGGCCAGTACAAGTAATGCAAACTTCTGAAGCAGTGGCGTGCCTTATCCCCTGCTTGATTCAAAGGTCTTGAGGAGTACAAAGTGCCCACATGTATATTGTTTAAAATATACATGTTGCTTTTGTTTAATGAAAAGTATTGATTAACACTGTATCTTCCAAATATTGTAAGTTAAATGGAAGTAAGATATGTCTACTATTCAGCAGGGGACAGGAATATCTGCCTTGCCTCCTTTTGTCCCTTTGTAGCACTGCTATGGTTGTTTATTTAAAGGAACAAAACTCTCATTTTCTTTCATTCTTCAAGACAGCAGTCTTTAATCTTAACTAGTGCAGCCAGAAGGGTGGCTTGCTGCTCAACTCATTTTCCCTATGAAGAATTAGAGCAGTGCAGTGTCTGTAGATGTTGTGTTTCTAAAGGCTCTGATAGAGGTGTGCAAAAGGCAAATAGTCTTCTAAGCTCTAATTTTGGTTCCCGCTGCAGATTTGGCACTATGTCCGTCCATTTGATGTTTTATTATGAAACCCCCGAATCTCAAACTTTAGTTTCTTTCTACACAGTCAGGTGCTGATATCCCCAAAACAAAGTGCATCCTTGCAGTGAAGTTTTGTTGCTGTACAGTGATATCCCCATTAAGACATTTTGGAGGATTTTTACCACAACGTAAACTACAAAGAAAATAACTTTTTATTCCTGTGTGTCCTCTCTCATGAAGTTTTTGGTCAATGGAATACAGAGATCAATTGTCTGTCTTGTATATTTTCCTCTTTCAGTCTATGGATTTTTTAAATGTTGTAAATTAATTCAAACAATTAGTAAAAACTAAACTCTGCAGCTGTCAGATGCTGTATATTGATTGGTACAGAACTGGAAAGGAGTATCTTATGACTTTTAAAATGTACAGCTTATGAAATGTTTATATGCTCTTCCATTTCCTATGAATTGAGACAAGATACAAACAAGAATGTTTGTGCCAAAGCTTGTGACAAGCCCTCTTTCTGGCAAACAAGGAAATTTTATGTATAAATAGTGTGCTTTTATATTAAGAAAATAGCTCATGTAACTTAATAGTGTTGCAACTGGGAGAGGGGTTTGATAAACTGTAAATACAGTTATTTTATTTTTTGTACATTTTTAAGAAGGAAAAAATAAATATTCCTATGTATGAGATAATATTTCTGTTGCTGTGGTGTGTATTACTACATACTTGGGATTGAGTTCCTACTTCTCACCCAAGAAAACTTTTAAAAAAGAAGAAAATAGAAATTCATTCTACTGAGAAAACGGGAACAGAGACTGAAAAAAATAACCACCAGAACATGGGTTCAACAACTGGCCTGATAGACGGAGGAGAACAGTGGATATTATCTACCCAGACTTCAGTAAGGGCCTTGACACTTGTCTCCCATAAGATCCTCAGAGAGAAGCTGTTGCTGTACAGGCTGGATGAGCAGACAGTGAGGTGAACTGAAAACTGTCTGACCGGCTGGGCCCAGAGGGTGGTGATCAGCAGCATGAAGTCTAGTTGGAGGCCAGTGACTAGCGGTGTACCCCAGGGGGCAATGCCAGGTCCAGTGCTGTTCAACATCTTCGTTAGTTATCTGGATGAGAGGGCAGACTGTACCCTCCGTGACCTTGCTGATGACACCAAATGAGGAGGAGTGGGTGGTATGCCAGAAGGTCATGCTGTCCTCCAGAGGAACCTCAACAGCCTGGAGAAATGGCCCAACAGGAACCTCATGAAGTTCAACGAGGGGAAGTATA